AGCACATTATATTTAGTTGATAGATAAGAGGCGATGTCCAATTTAAGTTGGATAGAATTGACTTAAAATTGATCAATTTTTATCCAACTTCTCGTTTAGCATATATATAGACACGTACATTGCCTTCTTTAAACTTGCACAAACATTTTTGCAATCTTCATTCAATCTAAACAAAAAACAAAACAAAACAAAATGACGCAGCGAGTGTTCACCTTCGGAAAAGGAAGAAGCGAAGGCAACAAGGGGATGAAGTCCTTGGTATGTACCAATACATTCTTATCAAATCATATAAACGTTTTTGTTTATGTTTTTTAACATTTCTGTTTGATTCTTGCTGTGAAGTTGGGAGGGAAGGGAGCGAATCTTGCGGAGATGGCGAGCATAGGCTTGTCGGTGCCGCCGGGGCTAACCATATCGACGGAGGCTTGTCGGCAGTATCAGATCGCCGGCAAGAAGCTTCCGGAAGGTCTTTGGGAAGAGATTCTTGAAGGTCTTAGCTTCATCGAAAGTGACATTGGAGCTTCCCTCGCCGATCCCTCCAAACCACTCCTCCTCTCCGTTCGCTCCGGCGCCGCCGTAAGTATTAATACATTTCTGAATTTTTTATTTTTGTACGACTAACCCTAAAATATCATTTTTTATGGTATAGTTTTTGAGTGATATATATGTATTAAAAATAAAATTACGACAATTTTCTTTTGTTTGTAGATATCAATGCCTGGTATGATGGACACTGTACTTAACCTTGGCTTAAACGACCAAGTCGTCGTTGGTTTAGCCGCCAAAAGTGGAGAGCGTTTCGCTTACGACTCTTTCAGGCGGTTTCTTGATATGTTTGGTGATGTTGTAAGTCACTCTGTTTTTATTATACAAATTCAAACGTTAACTTGTGCATCAAGAAAACTCTCTGACTTCATTTTATTGCTTTCTTGATTAATAAAAAGGTGATGGGGATTCCACACGCCAAGTTTGAAGAGAAGCTAGAGAGAATGAAGGAGAAGAAAGGAGTCAAAAACGACACCGAATTAAGCGCGACCGATCTCAAAGAACTGGTTGAGCAGTACAAGAGTGTTTACTTGCAGGTCAAGGGACAAGAGTTTCCTTCAGAACCTAAAAAGCAGTTGGAGCTAGCGATTGAAGCGGTGTTCGACTCTTGGGATAGCCCGAGAGCGATCAAGTACAGAAGCATTAACCAGATAACCGGATTGAAAGGAACCGCGGTTAACATTCAGTGCATGGTGTTTGGAAACATGGGAGACACTTCAGGGACTGGTGTTCTCTTCACCAGGAACCCTAGTACCGGAGAGAAGAAGCTCTACGGCGAGTTCCTAGTCAATGCTCAGGGAGAAGATGTGGTTGCAGGGATAAGAACACCAGAGGATTTGGATACGATGAAGAGAGTAATGCCTCAAGCTTACGCAGAGCTTGTAGAGAACTGCGACATCTTAGAGAGGCATTACAAAGACATGATGGTTAGTAACTTAGTCTACACACAGATTCTCAATAGTACTCATCAAGAAAACAGACTCAAATGTTGTATTATTTGCAGGATATTGAGTTCACGGTGCAAGAAGAGAGATTGTGGATGCTGCAATGTAGAGCGGGTAAGCGAACTGGTAAAGGTGCGGTGAAGATAGCAGTTGATATGGTGAGTGAAGGGCTTGTTGATAAACCTTCTGCAATCAAAATGGTGGAGCCTCAACATCTTGATCAACTACTTCACCCACAGGTATACACATAAACTCAATAAAGGTTCAATTTTTTTAGTACATAAAGGTTTTGTTTAGGTCACACACTTGAGATTTGTAACCAAAAGTCAAAAATTTACTTCGACCTAATTGCACATTTCCACCAAAACAGAGGATGATTGTTAAAACGTAATCTATGAAGTGGGTTAATGAAAGTTTCGATTTTTTTTGGATGGATTAGTTTCATGATGCGTCGGGTTATCGTGAAAAAGTGGTGGCGAAGGGCTTACCGGCGTCTCCAGGAGCGGCGGTAGGGCAGGTTGTGTTCACGGCGGAGGAAGCAGAAGCTTGGCATTCTCAGGGCAAAACCGTGATTCTGGTAAAGTCGAACTCTTTCTCTCTTCTGATCTCTAAATGAACAAACCCATACACCGCAAAATCTAAACGAATGTGTGTGGTGAGATTTTTAGGTTCGAACGGAGACAAGCCCTGAAGATGTTGGAGGTATGCACGCAGCGGAAGGTATATTGACGGCGAGAGGAGGAATGACGTCACACGCGGCGGTTGTAGCTCGTGGTTGGGGCAAATGCTGCATCGCCGGTTGCTCCGAAATCCGCGTCGACGAGAACAAAAAGGTTTCTACTTTCTTCTGATTTCGATTGTAACAAATTGTAGGAAGATCGTTTCTGATTAGAGCTGAAAAATTTTCAGGTTCTATTGATTGGAGAATTGGCTATAAATGAAGGTGAATGGATCTCAATGAACGGAACAACCGGTGAGGTTATATTGGGGAAACAAGCATTGGCTCCTCCTGCTTTAAGTGCAGACTTAGAGACTTTCATGACTTGGGCTGATGGAATCAGACGTCTCAAGGTGTTTTATGAGTTTCTCTCAACTTGTTTTACCATCAATCTTGAAGCTTTTTCCTTTTAACTCAAAATGTCAAATGATTAATAAGGTTATGGCGAATGCGGATACGCCTGAAGACGCGATTGCAGCTAGGAAAAACGGAGCTCAAGGGATCGGGCTTTGTAGGACCGAGCATATGGTAAACATACTTCCTCCTTCTCTAGTTCTTGATGAATCAAGATTGTGCTGTGGTTTCAGATTTTCATGTTTGTGTTTGGTTTTGGTTTGTTTTAAGTTCTTTGGAGCAGATAGGATAAAAGCAGTGAGGAAGATGATAATGGCGGTGACAACAGAGCAAAGGAAAGCTTCTTTAGATGTCTTGCTTCCTTACCAACGTTCTGATTTCGAAGGGATCTTCCGCGCAATGGATGGTAATGACATGTTTTGAGTCTCTTTCTCTCTAAAGTGTAGAACTTTGAAAACAAAGCTTAAACCTTTTGATCTTGTTTCTTTTAGGTTTACCTGTAACAATCCGTTTGTTAGACCCTCCGCTTCATGAGTTTCTACCTGAAGGTGATTTGGATAACATAGTAAACGAGCTAGCTGAAGAGACAGGAATGAAAGAAGACGAGATCTTGTCAAGAATAGAGAAACTCTCTGAAGTGAATCCAATGCTTGGTTTCCGCGGTTGCAGGTTTCTCCTTTGCTCTCTCTTTGCACCTGAGTTTTAGTTAATCGAAGACTAAACATGACGGTTAATCTTGTATGTTATAGGCTTGGAATATCATATCCAGAGCTAACGGAAATGCAAGCGCGTGCGATTTTTGAAGCAGCAGCGACGATGCAAGACCAAGGTGTTACTGTTCTTCCTGAGATTATGGTTCCACTTGTTGGAACTCCTCAGGTATGTCTCTCTACATGTCAGTATATGCAACATAGTTTTAGAAAGATTAAACATTTTGACAGAAATGATCATATATACATGAGTAGGAATTGGGTCACCAAGTTGCTGTAATCCGGAAAGTTGCAAAGACAGTATTTGCTGAGAAGGGTCATACCGTGAGCTACACGGTCGGGACAATGATCGAGATCCCTCGAGCAGCGCTCATTGCTGATGAGGTAAATGTACTTTCTTTAGAAACATAACTATGTATCAAGCGGAATATGCTAAAGTATGGACCTTTTCGTTGAAACAGATTGCGGAAGAGGCAGAGTTTTTTTCGTTTGGGACAAATGACTTGACGCAGATGACATTTGGATATAGTAGAGACGATGTTAGTAAGTTTCTACCGATTTACCTCGACAAAGGAATTCTACAGAACGACCCTTTTGAGGTATGTAAAACTGTATAATCTCATTTTCTACTCTCCAAAAGATAAAAGAAGTTGATAGTTATTGTTTATGTTTATTGGAACAGGTTCTTGATCAGAAAGGTGTAGGACAATTGATCAAGATGGCGACAGAAAAAGGACGAGCGGCTAGGCCTAACCTCAAGGTAAAAGTTTTTTTTTTGTGAATAGAAATCGAACAAACAAAATAGAAAATGTTGGGAAATTTGGGATTGAATCTGATGAGTTGAAATAAAACAGGTTGGGGTATGTGGAGAACATGGAGGAGAGCCATCGTCTGTTGCATTCTTTGCTGAAGCAGGACTTGACTATGTTTCTTGTTCTCCTTTCAGGTATTTTTAGTAACTACTTACTGCTAATCAAATCCTTGTTTTTTTTTTTTCATAAGAATATTGATGTAAATTTTGGGGATATCTGTTGTTGCAGGGTTCCTATTGCAAGGCTAGCAGCTGCTCAAGTTGTTGCATGATGGAAACTGCATGGCATTGTTCTGTGAATAAAAATTCTTTGATTTTTGTTTCCAAGAAATATGAACAAAATCAAAGAAACTGGATTTAACTTCTTTTTTTTTTTTAAAAGGAAGAATATAGAAGCTTCATGTTGTAAACTGAAGTATTAATAAAAGAAAAGTATTGTTGGGATGATCATGTCCTCAAGGCTCAAACTAACCAAGTAGTCAACTTCACGTAATTTGCTTTCTCTACTTGCAAAACAAAGATTAAAGGCTTTGAACCCAAAATCAAGTCTTTGTTCTTTTCTGAAATAAAATTACAATTTGAGAAACAGACCGTTCAAAAGAAGAAAGAGTAACACTTTAAAGATAGAAGATAAAAGAGATTAGATAGGAATGATAATCGGACATTCATACACTTGAGGTCGTTGCTTGAAAACTATCACTGCAACATAGAACATGACAAAAAAACAGCAACAAGTATTTCAAAATGAAAGTCTCCAACTTTATAAAAGATGCAACTTGACAACAAGGTCACTGAAACGAAAGCAGCCCATGAACACAACACAAACCAAAACAAGAAGTAAGAGAGACAAAATCAAGCCATGCAGAGAGGCACCTGTGATCGTCGATCTTCTGGCTTAGAATCCTAATTCCTCCGCTCTAAACCCGTCCCGGGAACACAGTGGCGGCTTTGGGCAGCTCAGGACAGTTTTCCACAATCAATGTTCTCAGGCTTGAGAGAGCTGGAGGATTGCAGCAGATTCTCTTGAGCCCAGCCATGTCATTCAAGTGAAGTGATTCGAGCTTTTCAAAGGGAGCACAAATATTTGGATGCATCAAGGTAATACTCATTCCTTTCTCCTTATTTATGATCTCTTCTATCTTTGGTGACCGATCTACACATAGACTCGTGAGATTTTGAGCAAACAAAAGCCACGTCAGATCCTTTGGCCCTTCCAAATCTTCTATATCAACAGAGAAGAGCTGCTTGAAGCCTGGAACCTCCCCAGTTTCGTTGCTTTCCCAAACTATCTTTATCTCATATATGTTGGAGGTGAAAATCACAAACCGTTCAAGACTTTTCAGAGCCACAGCGTTTAGTTTTATAACCTCTGCAGACAGATCCCTGAGACTTAAAGCTCGAATACTACTCGCCAATCGTTCTTTTCCTTGTATCTGTTCCAAAATCTTGGCATCTTCTATGGTTGCTGTTAAAAGCCTCAAGTGCTTCAGGAGTAATAGCTCTTCTATCGAATTGACATCAACACAAACCCCGGAACATAATAGTTTCAACACCTGCAGATTTGGTAAACTTTCTAACTATCCCAGCAATGCTCTCAAGTTGATGAGCACATTCCAAATTCAAGTCGATTAGTTTCCTCAACTCCTTCAAACCAACTGGTAACGATTTTATACTTGTGTCTGACAAGTTAAGATATTTCAAGGAACCCAAGTTGGAAATTTCTTCCGGCAATCCAACAAGGTCTTTGTTCCCTGAAAGATCCAAGACCACAAGTGCTGGCATAAACTGAAAGAATGCACCTGAAATACTCACCAGCTGGTTATTCCGAAGTAAGAGGGTCGAGAGGTTGGGGCATTTTGGACTGCAAGATATCTCTGCAATCTGATTGTTCATCAAAGAGATCCTTTTCACAACTTCCCATTTGATGTCCTCTGGTATCTGGCGTAACCTCGCACCGGGTTTCACACAATGTGTTTCTTTATCTTTCCCAAAGATAGACACTATCCAAAGAGCCATCTCGCGTATCACATCATGCAATTTCACTTCCGCTGTGGTGAATTCACAATCCATCAACAAATGTGCAACAAGTAACGAACCAATTATATCATGGCCTTGGTTGTTAGGTCCATCTTCATCTCCATCCACATCTAAAAACCCTTCGCATATCCAATATTCCATCAACTCCTCATTCTTCATTTCATAGTCTTCCGGAAACAGAGAACAATATCGGAAGCACGCTTTGGCCTTTTCATCCTTTAGACTGTCATAACTGAACTTCAAAATGGGAAGAATCTGTTTTTCCATACCTGGAAACTCGTGGCTAGACTTATCCAGAACACTGATCGCATGACGCCATTCTTGTATAGTTCCTTTACATGCCATGGCTTTGCCAATGACATAAAGTGCAAGTGGCAAACCACAACACTTGTCTGCAACTTTTCTTGCAAGTGTGGCAATATCATGGCTCTTTAAAGGGACTTCTCCAACTGTCTTTCGAAACAATTCCCATGCTTCACCAGGTGACAGACAATTAACTTTCATCTCATCGTCAGCTTCCATGTCTTTGCAAATTCCCATTGAACGAGTGGTGAACACTATTTTGGACCCATTTTGGAGAGTTACAGGTGGAACTCCTACCTTGTTCAGATCTACCTTGCTCGACAGGTCATCCAATAACAGCACGAATTTCTTTCTTTCAAGGTTTTTGTATATGGCAGAGGCTTTCTCCTCTTCTGTTTCGTGTTCCCACTTCTTGGCAAGACCTAGTCTTTTCAAAATCTGTTTCTGTATGCTCTCAGTTTGCAAATCTTTAGAGACCACAGCCCACAACACAACATCAAACTCATTCAGCACTTCGAGGAATTTGTTGTTGATACGAGCTAAGAGGGTGGTTTTGCCAACTCCCCCCATACCATAAAGACCCAAAGTTCTTGGTCCATCTTCCATGAGGCAGTTCCATGCCTTATCAACCATCGATTCCAAACCAACTGTGCTTTTGATATGTTTCTTCTCCACCTTTGATGCAGGACTATTTTCAGCTACCACTTCAAAAACCCCTCTAAATAGGAGTGCCTCAACTTCTTTCAACTTCCGGAATACTCTCTCACCATAATCGTAGCTTGATATGCAATTCTCAGAACAATATCCGAACAGACACAATGTTCTAGTTTCAGTTGATCTAGCCCCAAGCAGGTCATCGACTTGGGATACAACACCTTCTACCCTTGAACACCTTCCTTGGACTTGAGCAAGCCGTTGCAAACCGTTGTCTTCTTCTATCACAACTCTTCTTAATAGATCAGCTCGTCTTTGCTCCAGTTCTTCCTTGGTGTTCTTCAGAGCCTCAAGATTCGCCTCCATCCTGTGAATGTAATTTCCATCACCAAAAAAGCAGCTGCAGGCTTGAAGCAAGACTTGATCTAATGACAGTGATACACAGTTTCCCATCTTACTCAAACTTTCAGAAAGTAACAAGACAGTATAGGAAATAATGTTAGAGAAGGTGCTAAACGAAGGAGAGAAAAGAAATAATACAGTTGGTGCCTTCCAAACTTAATCAGAAAAGAAAAAAAAAAAAAAAAATTGGACCGTAATATCTTGACACAGCTTCCATGAAAGTCAGGGTATTGTTCACATCTTACTGCATTCCACACCAGTAATTGAGAAATTACTAAAAGAAGTTTTGTTGTATCCACAAAATGGTATACCATCCACTCCGGTTACACCAAAATGTGCCAAACCGAAAAGTAAAAAATAAATCAGTTTAACATTTCACTACTTTCGGACAAACCAAACCATAACACCAAATTTTGGTAAAATCTTGAATACAATTTATACATGAACTTTGTCAAAAAATAAATCCAAATCGAAATTAAAACCAAAATAAAATATCAAAGCGAACGGAATATTAGGTTTCTTTTTAATCTATATCTTGCATAAACCTGGAAAGAAAAAAGTTTCAAACTAAATTAGAGTCAACATACCGCGTTACCGACGAGATTATCTGCTAGACCAACTTGCTCCATCTAAACTTATGGTCAAAGTTACAGAAATTACAGAATACGATTGCTCTGAAGCATTTTCAACCACTGTCATTGTCTACACTAATGGCCAAACAATCTAAACTTTCCAAGTCTCTAATTCCACCATACGCAAAATAAGAAATAAATCTAGTACGTACCAAGTAATTTCAACACATGCAACTTCCTTGAAAATGATATTCCATCAATTCTTGGACGCTCCACTGTGATTTGTGAGTTCCAAATTCAGGGGCATCAAACTATTCAACTTGTTCAAAATATCAGGCAACTCCTTAAGGTTGTGTAGTACCGGGACAGCCAAAATCACAACCATTGACATATTACAAAATAATTGCATGAACAGTGTTAGAAGCTTGGGGGCATAAAGGATCAGGAAGTTCTGGAATGTAGTGTGAGGAAGTTCTAGTCTCAACAATGAAATTAAACTCATTATATGGATTCAAACATGCAACCATTTCAAAAACTAGATCATGACTACCCCGCTTGATTCTTCATCTTATAAATAAACATCTGCAAACTAGTTTACTGCGTATCCTATAACGTTCTCTTTATTTATTCAATCCAATACTCTATGTCTCTATCAATGCTTCTTTTAGTATCTTCAAAGACGTTCACAATCATACCAAAGGAAAATCAACAAATCAAGTAATCAATTTCACGTAATCAGCTATTTCCACTTGCAAAACAAAATTAGAGGCTACGGTAAGGAATACAAAAACAAGAAGAACGAGGAGCTGACTCCGCAGGATAACATATATTGAAGGGGATGTTCTTGATCTTCCCCAAGATTTGAACCCAAAATCAAGAGTTTGTTCTTTTTCCAAAAACAACTATTCGTCAAGGAACAAACCGTTCATAAGCTCGGACGATGAATCTCCGTTTCCATTTTCATCGAAAAACCCGTTTTCTGCGCTTTCTTTCCTCAACTTCCTCTCTTCAATAATGGATTCTTCTGAACCAGCACAGACATTCCGTCTTCCTTGTCTTGCGGGTTTATCAGCCACTATAAACTTGCTTCCATCTCGGACACGTTCAGAAAATCCCGCCCAAACTGTTACAAAACAATCCTATATTTTCAGAATGCAACACTATAAGTGACACCACATCTAATCTCATGATGCTATACTATTCTCCATAGTAATGTTGCTTGTTTTTCAATATCATACAGAGAGAGAGAAGAAAGTACCTCCAAAATGATGCAAGACAATAGAAGCTGCAACAGTAACATTCAACGAGGCAGTGCCACATCCATATTGAGGAATATATACAAAGAAGTCACATATCTCATACTCTTTGGTAGATAATCCTGATCCCTACAAAAACCGAAGCTTAGACATTTAGCAAATGATTGTTAATCAAACTCTTGAAATGCTTATCACCATTGAAGCCAAATCATTAATAGAACTTAACTAATGAGTGAAGGTCCTAACTTCACTCCAGTTTCTAGTTTTCTAAAATTGTATTTCAAAACCATTGAAGTTCCTATAATCTACTTGTTCTCTCATAGTTAAAATTGACTGAAAAAAAATCAGATCTTTTGATTGATTACCTCATTACCGAGAAGAAACGCAGTGTTTCGTTTGAAAGGATGTTCGTTAACCGCAGCAGCTCCATCTGCAATCTCTACGCCGCAGATATCGCAATCCTTCTCCTCCTTTTTAAGTAATTCCAAAAAAATTGAACACTCGAATCAGGTAGTGGTAAGATTAATAAAGCTCCCAAATTTTGGGTAATTTATGAAATACAGACCTTGAGGTAGGTGCGAGCATCGCTGAGTGAGTGAAAATGGCGGAATCGGATGTGAGAAGCTGAACCATGACTGCCGAAGGCGTTGAAGTCGCGGCGCCCGACGAGGATCAGCTCCGTAACACCAAACGCCGTCGCGCTCCGAGCTAGTGTTCCGACGTTGTGCCGCTTTGCTATGTTGTGAACAACCACGTAGCTCTCAAATCCCACCATCGTCGTCTTTGTCGTCGTCGTCTTCTACCTCTTATTTACCAGTGAGGGGTTTTTGCGGCGGTCTTAAACCAAAAACGGACCTTCAAAGGCAAACCGGCCATATTATACCATCAATTTGATTATAAATTAGCCGGTTTTGAGTAAATTCAATTTACTAACCGGTATAAACCTTAAAAGTGTACAAGTTTGCAGGCAGATTTTGAAATACAAATCAACAATGTGACTTGACATTTGAACAAATTTTTCTTACTCCAACCAAGAAACTTGATCTGAATCTCACATATAAATCAACTTTTAAATCATGTTAAAAAAAAACATTACAGCAAAACTTTAGAATGTGAAACCATTAGACCCATTGAGAGAAATATGGGGTCTCTTTAAATCTTTTCGACCCTGAACGAATCCATAACTCTTCTTAGATCGTTCTCCTCTTCCTGAAAAACTTTCTCAGGTGTTTGGAGTCTCAGTGAATAGAGTCTATTGTTCTCAACTCCTAGAACCGCAAGATAGCGCCTGTTCCATTCCAAACGAGCCACTCTATCTGTTGGCATCACAGCGAGCTCGTTGTTGTTTGCATATGACTTTATGTTCACCTGTTTAAATCAATCAAAACCAAAATGTAGCTAATTGAGCTATCTGATCAACACAACAAGACATGTTTGATCAAAAGAATCAAGAAATGCTGCAACACTATGATTGATCAAGAAAACAATCAATATGTCCAAATTTCACATAAAGCTTCACACTTTGTGTCAGCAATAGGCACAAGAACATCCTCCTTATAATCAAACTCAACTATCAAATGACCTAAGCAGTCCTATGATGTTGTTTGTTAGCTCATTATTCAACTGAAACAACACATCTTACAAGCAGTTTCAAATTCACTTAAAACCTTAAAATGTTGACTTTTTCACAGAATCAGGATGTAAATTTGGTGAGTGAATGTGGCTTATACCTCAACTTGGTAGTAGAGTTTACCATCATCTGCAACTCTAGAGGAAGTTGTGAGGATGTTGGCCTCACGCCTAACACCGAGCCTAGTGGACATAAACTCAGTCAAGTACTGTCTAAGCACTTTCTTTCCTGCTTCTTTAGGTGAACCTAAGTCCTCAAGTGACTGGTATTTCGAGGAGGAAGGCGAAGAGAACTCGACCGAGAGGTTCTCGTCGAGGACAACAGGGTCTCTAAAGAAGATATCAGCACCAGCTCCTCGGACTTGGATCCAGTTTTGAGGGTATTTGAAGGAGTATCCATCAAATGTATCAATGTACTCTCTGAACACTGGAGTCAAAGCAAATGCTGTTGTTGGAAGATTGGCTTCTGAAACCATTAAACCAGACATTAGCAAACCCATCATCATGCTCCTCCTCCTCCCAACTGCACAAGCCTTAAAGAAACGGTATCAATATTCGAACACCAAGATTATAAAAATCGAAACTTTTTCTGAGAATGCATAGATTCAGGTAAAGATTTAGCATTTTGAAATCTATTATGCATTCTGCATTGCAAAATATACAAAATTGGTTACCAAACGGACCCAAACTCATGAAATCAAGAAAAATACACATTTTGTCAAGAAGACACAATATGTTAAACCGAAAAAACCTGAGGAGGGTCAATCAAAGTGATAAAGTTTTTACCTGTTTGGCATCGCTTAACAAGTTTTTGGGAAGTGAAGATTCCGGTTTAACGAACTTGGAAGATTGGTATTTCGGACCGGAAGTGATGGGTCTGGAGAAAGACGAGGGGCTCGAAGTGGGTTTTGTGAGAGGAGGAGAGAAAGAGCGAGGAGATAGAAGAGTCTCCATGTTAGGAGCAGAAGAGAAAGAAGTTGATTTTGTTTTTCAGAGATGGCAATTTTTTTGCATTTCTCTGGTGTTTCTGTTTGTGGTAACGACCGATTTCTCTGGATAATGTTTTATCATTCTTACCGAATATTATATGTCTACGCTGCGTTTTAGTTCGTGTTTCTTCTTTCTTCGGAAACATATTCCAGTTTTCAGTTAAATAATTTGAAAGTTAGTAGTAGATTTGTAAAGAATCTGCAGAGAAAATAAGATTTTGGTTGAGCCACGTCAACAAGGAAATCCAAGTTTTTGGATAGAGATATTATAAAGTAAAATAAGTCTAGTACTATAAAGTAACAACACTACAGCAAAAATTATGGGATTAGCATTTAACCCTTTAAAATTACAACAAAAAAACGACCAGTTCAATGAAAATCAGACCCAAGCATGACCATGAGCACCGTCCTCTACTCTCTTTTGTTTCTTCTTTCTTTTTCTCTCTTGTTTAGTATCCAAACGTTCCGCCATTCGTTTCGCTTGCTGTGATCTTATCTCCATTAGCTTCGCCTTAGCATCTTTGAAAGGAGCATCAGATCTTGATGCCATCAATTGCTGTAACAAAACAAAAACCAAGAAACAACCACATGTTCACTATGTTTTTCTTCTCAAACAAGGTGATGCAAAACGAAAACAATTGAATAGTTTAGCTAGCTATATACCTTGACATGATCCATGGCGGCCAAATTGAAACCGATTGTATCTTTGCATTCCTGGTAACAAAATTTTCAAAGATTACTTACTATACTGTCACCAAGAAACCGTTCTGTTTATATTTTGTCTCAGAGATAATCTTACCTTGACTTTTTCGTGAAGAATATCCCTAAGAACACTTAATAGTGGTCGTGCAGCAGGCGTTGTTACCAATTGATTGTGCTGCGTCTGTATTAGAATCGTTGCAAGTCTGCAAACCAATTCTACCTGCGTGGTGTTCACATCAACAGTTTCAGGAACCAAAAGCTTTCATGCTTGAGATAAGAGTGCGATTTAACTATATAAGTTAAGACTACATCTCTATGTACGGCACATTGCATACATGAGCAGTCCTAAGTAATGCACTGATGGTGATGGAAAAACGAGTAGATCATTACCTTTTCGGGAATCAAACTCCAGATTTTCAAGTAGGAAAGAAGCTTTAAAGAATCTGAGAATGGTAAAGGCTACACGAAACCAGAGAAAGAAAGGGCAACTGATTAGCAAAACCTTGGATTTGAAACTATCTAAACAAGAACTTGTATAACCCACAGAGAGGCAAAATCGATTGGGAGATAAGTAACTAACCAGCAAGGCCTGTTCAAGATCATTCGTTCTCACTTTGGAGATGGCTCGGAGAACAAAATCAGACGGAGATAACCCGAACATCAGAGCATTTGGAAGGAGATCAGGAACCTTTCCTTTTGTTTTCTCTTCCTGAAAATCACAATGGCAACAACAAGGTTAAAACAGCAGATATCAAAATAATGTTGTAGGCACAGGCTAAGAGTCAACCTAGCCCGAGAGTGATTAGGAACAACTGGGAGATGCGTTACATGTAGATATATGCAAGCTCACAATTCTCACCTCATGATCAGCGATACGGCTCGTTTCATTTTCTGCTATCTCTAGAGCATCTATGATTGAATCAGCATCTGATAGAGCAGCTACTGTCTTCTTCCCAGGTACAGCTGTAACACCTTCCTCTGGGATTTCCTCCTGAGGTCCATGCCTGTTCTCCATTTCAATCTCAGACTCGAATAGCTCTTCTAACCTCTTTTCTTTTTCCTCCTGAGGATTTCCAGCAAAATTACAGTCATGGACACAAAGTCAACTACGAGTAACTCACCAGTATGCTAAGATCTCTATCTAGTTCTGCTACCAAATCGCCAATTTACAACCAAAAACAAAAAAAAAACATTCTCTATATAGTTAAGAACTTGCTCGACTTTCACATTTAATTCCTTCCTGCATCTATCATAATTCCGAATCTGACTCTTCATGCAAAATTTAATGGACCAGTAGGGAATTACCTCGAGGAAGAGAGGTTCTTCGGTACGGTCCCAGCGTCGAATGGAGCGGTCATGAGATCCTGTGACGAGAAAATCACCACGATTGCTGATAGCAAAGCACCAAATCTCTGCGTGATGTCCACCAAGCTTTAATAGCAGCTCAAACTTGTCTGCATCCCAATACTTCACTAGACGGTCTTTTCCAATGCTGAACAGGTAATGCGTATTGCGAACAAACTTCACACCCATAACACTGTAAAACAAAGTCACATGTCAGTGGAACATCACAAATCTTTTGTGATCTCTGGGAATCTTAAGTTTCTATAAATAGTTCAAAATCTATTGAGAATTTACTGGTGGAGTGAGTGCTTTATGTTATGTAAATACCGTACTGTTTTCATACTTTTTACTTGGGAAAATTTTATCTGGTAGTCCCAAGTAAAAAGACTAAATTACTCTGTGCTGCTCGGAGAAATTTGGGAAAAGATTTTCTGGAAGTACCTGTCATCATGAGCAAAGATGGACTTGTGACAATCACCGAAATCCAAACCCCAAATTTTTATATTTTTGTCCTGAGAACCAGTTACAATCAACGCTCCATCCGATGAAATGTCAATGCACATGACAGGCAACTTGTGGCCGTATAAGGAGAGGTAAAATTTTAGGGAATCCACATAGAAAACCTGAAAATAATAGGAGGAAAGGAAGTTGGTATTGCCCAACACAAGAAAAACGCTACTAGTCTGATTATAGCAACATTTTTTCTAGTATATGGCAAAGATTTAACGAACTGAAAGTCAAGACAGTTTAATTATGATATTATCAGGATACAGAAAAACATATACATACCTTCACCGTGGAATCTAGCAGTGCAACTGCGATATGTTTAGCATCAGGACTGATGGCAACAGCAAGTACGTCATCATTCATCTTCATTGACCTCACATTTGAAACAGAGAGTTGCTTGGTCTCCTGCAAAGGTTATTCAACATTATACACTTTATGAGTCATACTGAAAGTTAGTATAATGTATCACAGAAACAAAATTGAAGGACAACAGAAATAACCGATTTTTTAAAAATTAAATTGCATCACTGACTTCTTCAAATAAAGAGTATTAATGAAACATGAGAAAGGTCAGAAAATCTCACTTGGCCAGCTTTCTTTTTGACTTGGTATTCCCAGAATTTAACTTCATGATCTGCACTCACAGTGACGAACCCAGAGTCATCTGGAATGGGTGCAATTGACCAAATAGTTCCACCATGTGCTTCAACATCTTCCACTTTGGTAGCACTCCCTATATCAATGATCTCGAGTATCCCACTCTTAGTTCCAACAATACCATACTTACTTTTAGGGACTATCAAACTGCAGAGTCCATATCCTGAATCAATGGTCCGGAGACAGGAACCTGTACTAGGATTCCAAATTTTCACTTCACTGTGACTGGTTGACATCAAAAGGTTGTTGTCGTCACTGAGTGCTACACTCCTCACGTCAGATCGATGTCCTTGCTGTTCAATGATAGCAGCTTTCTCGTATTCCGTGCTCTTCAGGGTATAGAACTCCATTGTGTTATTGTTCAAAGATAAAGCCAATGTCGCCAAGGTATCTCTTGGAGTGATCGGACAGAAAGAGAAAGAGCATATTTTTCTACCAACTCTAATGACTTGTAAGAGCTTAAAAACGTCAGGGACAGTAGGAACAAGAACACCATAAGCTTCTTCGACTTTGTTACTTTCATCTTCGTTACTGGTTACATTTTCAACCTCGCTTTTGGAAGACTTCTTCTCTATCCTGCGAAGCCTACGCTTTGCTTTCCGCTTTGCCTCCGTTTCATCCAATACCCGGTATATTTCAATGGTTTTACCTGCCACTTGACAAGCAAGCAGACTTCCTGAATGACTGTATCTCACACTCGAAACTCTATCTTTGACTTGTCTCTGGATTTCCCCAAACGGCTTCAAAACTTCCCACTTATTCTCGGTTGAGTGATCTCCGCTAGCATCAGCTCCTTTTGAATCTAAGTTCTGATTTACAGCATAGAATCTAAGTTCTGGATCAGCAGAGCCAGTAACTACATATCTTCCTTCCGGATCAGCATCCACAGACCAGACTTCACTATGATGGCCACTAATTATTTGCATACAGTGTTGAGTCTCAAGATCCCAGACTCTCAAGAACTTGTCTTTAGATGAAGTAACAAGCTTCTTATCAGAATCCAAGAAAACAAGATCTGTGACCTACGATAAACGCACACATAGTAAGACCTAACCAACCCATTGGGAGAGCCATAAGAAAAGAGAAACTAATGATAGAAAATGTAAAGCAAGCCCAATACGAACCTGATCACGGTGACCACGGAGAGCATAACGCGATGATTCACCAACCACATCCCACAAGATAACAGTGTTGTCTTTACTCCCAGACGCTAACAAAGATCCAAGCTTGTTGAACCTCAGTACAGTCACAGCACCCTTGTGGCTATCTAGAGTAGCCTCACAGGTTCCTTTCTCACTATCCCATATCCTTATACAACCGTCTGCGTACCCAACTGCTACCTGGTTGATTATACAGAGCCAAACAACTACGTTTAACCGCTTGTGACATCCAAGTTTTAACACAATTAACAAAATATTTGAGTAATCTCATCTCAAATTCAACAACAAATCCAAAAGTTCATGCTTTTAGTTTTAATCAAAGGCTTATCTTTTTGTATTCCTTTAAAAGCAGTGTATCACTATCAACTTAGCAATTGACTCAGGCTCCAATGATTTCATAACTAGTTACAAATTTAGCTCCAAAGAGCAAACAAAAAACGTTCAAATGTCTTTCTTTCTGAGCCCTATTAAGCTATACAGCTACCGAATAGATCAATAACCGAACAAATTCGAGAAAATGTTAAACTAAAATCAAAAGAGAAAACTACGAAGTACCAAAGTAGAAGAAGCAGAGGAGGCGATAGAGGTGACGGCAAGAGACGGTCCGGTGCGAGTGGAAGTGGGAATTAGGGTTTTGTTGCAGATTCCTTGACGGACGTGCCAGATTCCGACCTTCTCAAGCGCCGGAGCAAACACATGCTTCCCCGTCGAATCGTATGCAATATTCGAATCCAAAGACGTTACTACACCAAACGAAGAAGCCTGCTCGTATCTTAGGTACGCCTTCACCATTGCTACAAAGCTTTCTTTTTTTCCTCTATTTTTTTCTGTCTCCTTCTCCGTCTCCGTCTCCTTATTGCTGCATTGAGCTTTGATGATGGCGAGTTTAAACCTTTAGGGTTTTGGAGAGAGCCTGAGAGGCAAATATAGTTTTACTATATTGCAAAACCATCTCCAGATTGTATTATTTATTCAATATTTGACCCTAAACTTTTGTTACAACATTTAAGCCCTATGGATGCAAAAGAAAACCGCAAGGCCCAAATGATTATGTTCGTTTTTGTGATAGTTGTAAATTTATAGGGAAATGGACAAAAGTAACATCTCTTGGTATCGAATTTAAGGAACTACCATATGTATGTATACTACGAAAATTTAAGACATTACGTTAAACGGTGATAAACCAAACTCGTCATTTTAAGAGACGTGTGTTGAATAACACACATGATTTTTTCTTTAGAAAGAGTAAAAGCTTGTTCTCACGTCTCGTAATACATTTTTCAACATTTTAAGTTTTTTTCTTTTCCCAAAGGCCAAAACCATAGAAATCTCGTCGATACACCAACTTCTCAGTTACATATATACAGTCTTGGATATGGATCAGAGAGCTTTTGTAAAGACAGAGAGAATGCTGAATAATACTTATATTGAACTAGAAAGGAGAACGGTCCTTTAATAGACCTTTACAACGAGACTCCGAAACAAACTCCAACTACAAGTCTACAACAGACTCGATCTAAACGTGATCTAGTTCCTACAATATAAGAAGACTTATTCAACAAGAAACTTCAAACTACCAATTGACTTAAACCAAACATAAACCAAAAGCATAAACCAAACTTAAACCAACATTTATTCTTCAATCCCTCCCTTAAACTGGAACACCTTCTTCCAGATTACTCATCTTTGAAGCATACTTCCATCCTTCTCCTAAGTCTCTCGAACACTTCCAATTTTACCGCCTTTGTCATGATGTCAGACAACTGATCCTCTGTTCCACAAAACTTCAGCAAGATAACTTCCTCATTCACCAAATCACGCAGAAAGTAGTACCTCACATGTATGTGCTTGCTTCTTCCATGTAGCACTGGATTCTTTGACAACTTGATGGTGGAACTGTTATCACAGAACAGAGTTGTACCTTCTTCTTGTGCCCAACCGATCTCTCCAAGTATGTTTCTCAACCACATAGCTTGACAAGCTCCGTAAGCTGCAGCAACGAACTCAGCCTCTGTCGTGGAGAGAGTTACGATTGGTTGCTTCTTCGATGCCCACGATACTGCTCCTCCTCCGAGCATGAAGACGTAACCAGAGGTACTCTTCCGGTCATCAACGTCACCTGCATAGTCACTGTCCACGAAACCCACAAGCTTTTCTCCTTCTCCTTGTTTGTAACGAATGCCAAACCCACAAGTTCCTTGTACGTATCTCAGAATACGTTTTGCAGCCAACAAATGCTGCTCATTCGGATTCTCCATATATCTACTAACCAAATTCACAGAGTAAATAAGATCTGGTCTAGTAGCAGTCAAGTACCTCAAGCTTCCAACCAACTGTTTGAACATTGTGGGGTCGGCTGCGTCTCCTCCTCCAGCTCTTGAAAGTTTATTCCCAGGGACAATGGGATTCTTCACTGCATTACAACCCTCCATTCCATACTTCTTCAGAGTTTCTTCTGCATATTTTTGTTGATTGATGAAAATTCCTCTTCCATCTTGAATAACCTCAACTCCAAGGAAAAACTTCATCTTTCCAAGGTCTGTCATTGCAAACTCCTTCATCATCGACTGCTTGAACTCTTCTAGCATCGTCAGTGAGTTCCCAGTGTAAATCAGATCATCAACGTAAAGGCTCACTATCAGAATGCTATCTCCCTCCTTCTTCACGAACAGAGTATGTTCATAGTAACACTTCTCGAACTTTTCCTTCATGAAATAGCCCTCAATTCGACTGTACCAAGCCCTAGGCGCCTGCTTTGACCCATACAAGGCTTTTCTCAACTTGTAGACCTTGCTTTCTTCACTCATCACCACAAAGCCCTTAGGTTGTTCCACGAAGACGTCTTCCTTCAATTCTCCTTCAATTTTCTGCAGCTAAAGCGAGGATCGATCTGATAGTATCCCACCTAGCCACAGGAGCAAAGACTTCGTGAAAGTCGACTCCATGCTTCTGATGATACCCTTTAGCAACAAGTCTCGCCTTAAATTTGTCAATATCTCCTCTCTCGTTAAATTTGGTTTTGAAAACCCATTTAACGCCAATGACTTTTGCTCCTTCTGGTAACTCCATCAGCTCCCATGTATTGTTCTCTTCGATGCTCTTGATTTCAGCCTCCATTGCCTTTCTCCACACCTCATCTTGTACTGCATCCTCAAATGTAACTGGATCATCGTGTTGCAGAAACAGAGCAAAGATTTCATCTTCCTCTTCTGTTATGACCAAGTTCGCTTCTCCTGCAACATAATCTTTCATCCACACCGGTGCTTGTCTCTGTCTTCCTCCTCTCACCGGTGATGGAACGACTTCCTCTTCTTCTTCCTCCTCTGCAACTTCTTCTTCTGCATTATCATCTTCTTGGTTTTCTTCTCCATCTTCTGTCTCTGCTTGATTCTCGTGATCATCTGCAGCATCGACTACTTCTCTCTCAGTCTCTGTCATCACTTCCTCCCATGACAGCTCATTGCTCTGCAGATTGACTTCCCAATTCCAGTCTTTATTCTCATCAAAGTGAACATCTCTGCTTATCAATATCTTCTTTGTCTCGGGATCATACAGACGATAAGCTTTTGACTCCTTGCTAACTCCAAACATCACACACTTGATGCTTTTCTCATCAAGCTTAATCCGTCTCTCATATGGCACCAAAGCAAACGCTACACAGCCAAAGATTCTCAGATGCTCCACTGATGGCTTCTGTTTGCTCCACATCTCCTGCGGTGTTACATCTCCTAAGGCTGCTGATGGACTTCAGTTCAGTATATGAACGGCATACTGAACTGCTTCTGGCCAGAAGCTTCTTGGCACTGACTTCTCAAGTAACATACACCTTGTCATGTTCATGACACTTCTATTCTTCCTCTCAGCTATCCCATTCTGTTGTGGTGTGTATGCAGCAGTGAGTTGTCTCTTGATCCCTGTCTCCTTACAGAAAGCTTCAAAAGCCTTTGAATTGTACTCTCCTCCTCTATCTGTTCTCAGACACACAAGCTTCTCCCCAAGTTCTCTCTCAACAGCTGCTTTAAACTCTTTAAACACAGCAAGAGCTTCTGACTTCTCACTCAGAAGATATGTCCAGCATTTTCTACTAAAATCATCAATGAAATTTAGTATGTACCTCTTTCCACTTTCCGAAATCGGAGAGATAGGACCACAGATGTCGCTGTGGACAAGTTGTAATCCACGAGTTGACTTCCACTCGCTTTTCTTTGGGATGCTCTCTCGATTTTGCTTCCCCTTCATGCACACCTCACAGATTGTCTCAGCTTCGTCTAGACTGATAGTTGGTAAACCAATCACCATTTCTTTCTCTGCTAGTGATTTAAGACCTCTGTGATTTAGATGCCCATACCTCTTGTGCCATAAGTGCTTGATGTACTTGCATTTTACATAGTTTTAGCACATCTTTTATGCATCTTTTGCATAGTTTTAGCTTCCATTTGCATCATATCTTGTTCCTTTTCTCTTCTTATGCATTCATGTTAGTTTTAGGTTGCATTTGCATACATATGCATGTTTGGTCCTTTGAAATAGGTCTTTTGGAGCATTCTGGAGCATATGGGACACAAGGAGCATGGAGGGACTTGGCACATGGAAGCAGCTCAACTGGATACGCAAAGGAAGAAGGGAGAAGCCATCTTGAAGACCAGCTCGACCGTCCACTCGACCAACCGGTCGAGTTCCTCAACTCGACCGGCCAAGCTTCAACTCGATCGAGCTGGAAGTCAAAGTCAAACCCGAAAAATGTTGCTTCCCCCTTGACTTTCCTTTGACCCTAAACCTAATCCTCTTGTATTTAAAGGCTCTAAGCCACGAAAAAACCACCAAGCTTTAGATTATTTTGTTTTAGTTTCTTTTAATTTATTGTCTTTACTTTTAGAACCCTAATCCCATCTTTGTGTTCTTGAAGCTCTTGCTTCTTGAATCTTAGATCCTGGATAATCTCTTTGTATTTGCACTTGCTTATTTCAATAAAAGTTGTTTAATTTCATCTCCTCTTTCTTATGATGTCTCTTTTATTGCATTTGCTTGTGTTTACATTCATGTGTAGTGAGTAGTTACCCATTGGGTTTGAGATGGGATAGATTAGAGGTTTCATATGCTTAATCCTTCTAGCTTATGGTCTTAATCTAGATTCTCTCTCTTTTGGATAGATCTTAAGGCTACATGACCACTACCCCTGGCTTGTAAGTCCTTAGGCGACTCCCCACACGAAGTGATGGCATTCGCTGGAAAAGATCCACTAAGAGCTCCAATATCTCTTGCTCTAGACAATAGAGGTCTAAGGGGTTGGATGGATTAGTTTGGGCAATGATCCTATAGCCTCCAAGGTTTGATTCTCACTGGCTAACCCCCTGTTTCTGAGATCATTCCTTGGTTGATAGCCTTCACCTTGGGAAAGGGTTGGCTAGGCATTGAGAAGCCCAATATCAAGAGAAGCCTTGATACAAGGAGTTTTAAGAGCTAGATTGATTAAGTGTAGATTCCTTTGATTGCAAAACCCTGTCTTGAACCCTAATTCTCTCTTTATCTTGTTAAAGTCGTCACCTTTAGCTTTGTTTGTCTCAACTCGTCCCTAAACTCGATCGAGCTGGTACTTTGCTCTACTCGACTCGAGCTCTTGGTCGAGCTGACACTTCACTGCTTTCTTTACTTTTATTGCACTGCTTTTCTTTTTTTAGGTTGTTAGTGTTACTTCAAATCTTTACTGCTTGCTTGACTTTCTGGTTGTTTCATATTCTCATAGAGTGACAAGTTTCCCATTTTGGATTGATAACCCTTTGTACTACATCAACTATCATGGTTAAAGGGAATTGTTGACTGTGTTTGTGTTTGCATCTTACCACCATCATATACCACTGATTGCATTCCACTCATCTCATTTCATTCTTTTCACATCCACACACAAATCCTATCATCAATTTGGCGCCGTTGCCGATTTGGGAATATTTTTGTTGCATTTGAGTTTCAAACACACTTGGACGATCAAGCTATACCACCCCTGTTCTATTGTACTGCTGGGTTTTTGTCTCTTTTTGCAGGTGTATGCGAACTCGATCGAGTCGGTCAACTGAAGACTTGGTCGAGCTAGACTTACAACGGGTAGAAAGAGGGTTCAGAGGTCACAGAGGGTACAAGAGGAACCTGAGGTGCTTGTTGCTGATACAATGGATGTACCAGAGGGGAATGGAAACCCTTTGGGACATGGACTCGGTCGAGCTAGGCAAACTCGACCGATTGGTCAAGGAGATGCTCCAAACCGCCACCAACAGAGACAAGGGATTGTTCCACCACCAGTGCAGAACCACAACTTTGAGATCAAGCTGGGAATGATCAACCTTGTCCAGAACAAGATGTTCCATGGATTGCCAAGTGAAGACCCCATTGACCACCTTGATGAGTTTGATAGGCTTTGTGATTTGACAAAGATCAATGGTGTCTCTGAAGATGCCATCAAGCTGAGACTCTTTCCTATGTCTCTAGCTGACAAAGCTCACCAATGGGAGAAGAGCTTGCCCCATGGCACAATCACCACTTGGGATGAATGCAAGAAGGCCTTTCTTGCTAAGTTTTTCTCCACCGGTCGCACAGCCAAGCTTAGAGGAGAGATATCCAGCTTCATCCAGCGAAACAATGAGACATTCGCAGAGGCTTGGGAGAGGTTCAAAGGCTACACAAGTCAGTGCCCACACCATGGATTCAACAATGAATCCTACTCTCCACTCTTTATAGAGGATGCTTGCCTAGGTATAGGGAGATGCTAGACACAGCTAGCAATGGGAACTTCCTCAACCAGGATGTAGATGATGGCTGGCAACTTGTGGAGAACATAGCTAACTCAAATGGAAGCTATGGAGAAGAGTATGATCGCACCAACCGGAGCTCGACCCACCACTCGATCGAGTCAGACGAAAAGTTGAGAAAAGATGTTAAGGCATTGAATGAGAAGTTGGATAAGCTGATCCTAGCTCAGTCCACAATGAAGAAAGTCAACTTTGTGTCTGCTGAGGAGATGGAACCAGTCCAAGAAGGGGAGGATACACAATTTGCTGAGGTATGCTACATGAGCAATGGGCAAGGAGGTTACAACAAAGGATACTATAATTACAAGTCCAACCCTGCCATGTCATACCGCAACACTGATGTTGCTAACCCTCAGGACCAAGTATATCCTCAACAACAAGCAGCTCGATCGAGTCAGCCACAACATGGGTATGGTCAAAAGAACAATTACCAAGGACCACAAGGCACTTTCTCTTCTGAAGTGATTCACAAGTTCAGAAGAGATCTCAGTGGGATTGGAATTGAGTTGCCTCTATGGATAGCATGAGTGAGGCATTTGATCAAATGCAAATGGTCAAGGATGTTCTAGCCAACAGTGATAAAGTTTCAGAGGTCCTACAAGAGTCTACTCATCAGTTCAACCTGCTTACTTCACCCACCTTCCTACCAAAGGTCAAGGATCAAGGGAAATTCACTCTCCCTTGCACACTTGGGCATCTTGAGATTGACAATGCCTTAGTGGATTCTGGAGCAAGCATCAATCTGATCTCTCTCTCCATGGCAGAGAAGCTAGGCATAGCTGGAGCCTTGCAGCGCCCTACTACTTCAATCATCTTTGGAGATGCAACTACTAAGTCTCCTCTTGGAGTGTTCAAGAACTATCACTTGAAAATTGGAGAATGCATCATCCAAACTGATCTCACTGTGATGGAAATGGAAGAAGAGAAGGATTTGCCTTTTATTGGGAACCCCTTTCCTTAGTACAGTTGGCGCTTCAATTGACTTTCACAAGCAAGAAGTGATCCTTCACAAGGTGAATAGTTTGGTGTCATATCGCTTGCAGCCTAGAGGTTCAGACTTTTGTGCCACAATTGACAGTACCAATCTCAGTTCTAAGAGTCATGGAGCTACAAAGGTTGTGAAGGAAAGGGTTGACAAGGAACCAAGAGTTGGGAAGGATAAGGATGAGAGAGGACCAAGGATTGAGAAGCCACGTCTTGAGAGGGCTAGAGTTGAGAAACCACGATCTGATAGGCCAAGAGCTGAGCGACTTGTTCAAGCCCCTTGTGTGCTTGATGAAGAGAGCCTTCAAGCTTTGTTTGATGAGCCACTAGGAAGGGCTCTAAAAGAAGGGGAGGATGCAGCCTCTAAGGCAAGACCAGGGATAAAAGAAAGGATCCACCAGCTCAGGCCCCTTCAGTCAAGCCATCTCAGCTCACAATGACTTTGTTCCCCACCAAGTTTGAAAATGGGAAGATTGAGTACAAGATAAGGTACAAGGGGAGATCAAGGCCATTCTCTAGAGCCAAGGCCTTGGTGACTTCAGAACAGTCCAGGGACCCAACCAAGCTAAAGGAGCTTCTGTCTCAAGTCCTCACTATCACCCTTGATGGTGGGACTAGCTCAACCAATGCCTAAGAAGGTAAAGGTCAAGCTATGGGACCTTAAACAAGCTCACTTGGGAGGAAGTCCCATGTTTATCCTTGTACATACTCTATTTATGCAATTTCTATCTATCTTTATGTTTTAACCTTTCAATAAGTTAAGTTTAGGTGTCAAGGAGCCAGCTCGACCGATAGCTCGATCGAGCTAGAAACCAGGGCAACTCGATCGAGTTCCACAACTCGACCAAGGTAAGTTTTTGAATTTCAAATTTCTAACCGTTTTCCTTGGTCAAGGGAGTGGGTCCCACAAGTAATTTTGGTCCCCCACTACCCTAATTCGATCAGAAAACCCTAGCTTCTTGTCCCTCTTTATTTCACCTTTTAATCTCAACCACACATCTCAAACAACCTCTTCCCCATAACTCGATCGAACCCACTTCCTCTCTCCCACACTTAAAATTTCTGAAACCTATCTCTCTCTCATCACCACAAGAAATTTCGAATTTCAACCTTTCTCTCTTAAGTTTTTGCGATTTCTTTGTTCTTCATCTTGTTTTGCTTGTTCTTAGTTTACTGCTCTTCAATCCATCATTCAAGCAAGGTATGAACCCTAAAACCTTGATTCTTCATCTCGATTCCTCCATTGCTTGTTTCCTCTTGATTTTTGATTGCATGTGTCCCTTGTGGATTTATCTTGAGTAATTGCTTTCTTTTTGCTTCCTTGTATAATCTTGTGAATTTGCCTCACCTCACCTCTGTTTTGCATTAGAACTTGTTGCATGTGCTTGAAACAATTTGAGTTTGGTAATGGTTAAGGTGCTATGTTTTTCACTAGAATTGCTTATTGTTCCATTTACTAGTTGTTCTTGGTTCAATTTGATTGATTAGCATCCTTTCCAGCTCTTAATACTGAATTAGGTTTGGTTATACTCTGTTTTCACCTACTCGATCGAGTTTGTCACTCGAGTTTTTTGACTCGATCGAGCTGAGTGTCGAGTTGACCAAACCGATCATTACAACTCTAATTCTTTGAGTTTTTGATGCATTTCAGGAACCCAACTTCAAGAAGCAACGTTCAAGATGTTGAGAGGTGAAGGAAGCAAGCAGCATTCACAAAGAAGGAGAATAACAAGAGGAGCAAGGAGGATACTCAGAGACTAACCAAGGAGGATGAGGAAGAGATTGAGAGGGTGAGGGAAGAGGAGAACCAAAAGAAGGAATGATCCTCTCAGCAGTGAGAGCGAAGAGGAGAGTTTGAAATTGGAGTGAACATCCCACATGAGGAGAATGATGACTCCCAAGTGAAGAAGAGAGTGAGAGTCAATCAAGAGATTGAGGAGAGTGAGCATGAGAGCAATGAGAATGTGCCCATGGAAGAGGAGGAGTCAGAGGAAGAAGAGGATGAGCTCCCCATGTACCAAGAGCACTATGATGCTCTCTTCTCCATGGACTTTGTGGAGACCAAGTACCCACATGATGACACAATGAAGGCCTTGGATCTTTGAGATGTGGAGTTGGTCTCAAGAACATGCACTTGGCCAAGTTCTTCTCTTACCGCATGGAGTCTACAAGGAGCTCACTTGTGAGTTCTTGGCTTCAATGAGGTACCACAGTACAAGAGCGATCGAGCTGAGTTGGACCAAGGATTGGGATGGATCACGTTCTTGGCAAGGGAGAGAAGGAAGGTGACCTTTAGGCAGTTGGAGATCTGTTTGGGTTCACTATGGAGAAGGAACCAAGTGGAACATCAAGGAAGAAGAACTCCAAAGAGTTTGGGCTACAATCGCTGATGAGTGTACTCTTCCTCAAGGTCCAAGGCTGCTCAGATCAGGAGCCCAGTGCTTAGATATGTGCACAAGGCTCTTGCCAACACCTTCTTTGCAAGGAAGGCACTGGACAATCAATGAGGGAGAAGTGAAGCTCCTTGACATGGGAATCAAGCCCATCATCTCACGCACAAGGATGGGCAAGATCAGGGGAGATAGGACACGCAGGGAACTCATGCCTCTCCTTGACCAGCTCCACCTACAAGTCACAGCTTACAACACTAGGCACCAAAGAGGAAGAAAGCTTAGTGTTGGAGGGTCATCACACCTATCTTGTGTGCAGCTGGAGTCCATGGACAAGAGAAGTCTACTCCAGCAGGTTGGATGGACATCAAGTTTTGCAAGACCAACCTCCTCATTGAGCACAAGGAGTTGGATGGGAGGTTCCAATTCAAGTTCACACATCCATTGGCTGGCCCTCCAAGCTTCTCCTGCCCAACCCTGAGCTCACCACAGTTAGGGGTGAGAACATTGACTTCAGACCCCCTGTGTACACATTAGTTGGGCATGAAGGGATTTGCGAAGAAGAGATGAGCTCGATCGAGCTGAGGATCGAGCTGAGATCGAGCTGAGGATCGAGTTGAGGACAACGCTCAGTGAATGCGGATTTGGGTGAGCCTGAGTGCTATTATTTTGAGGAGTATGAGGCTCCAAGGATGAACCCCTCTGTTGTGGCTGCCCACAAGAGGATTGGACTTCTCCAAAAGTTCAACAAGTGGCAAGGGAAAGCCATGAGAAGATGCAAAAGTCCATGGACAAGATGGTGAGCAAGATCAAAAGTTTGGAGAAGAAGGTTTCTGGTTCTTCAAGCAAGAAGAAGAAGTCCAAGGCCCACTTTCCCTAGGAGTAGATCACTCCTCACCACCCAAGGAGGCTCCCTGCCCAAGAGCCTCACAGAGCCTCTTCTTTCGAGCCAAGGGAAGGAGAGACAACACGCAGAGAAGGAGGAAGAGTTCCAAGACGCTCCAGCTCCAACTCGATCGAGTCCAAACAGAGGAAACTCGATCGAGCTGAGGGTCGAGTTGACCTGGAGGAGCCCCTGTTTGAGAACCCTGGGTTCGAGTACGATCAACCCAGTACCAGGACTTCTCTCAGACCTGGACCCCTACAACCTTCGAGCGAGCACAACTCCACCAAGGCCAAGGAAGCCACACCACTTTAAGATGAAGAAGAGAGAGGAAGAGCCACAAGCTCGATCGAGTGAGCCGAAGAGGCAACCCAGTTGAGTGGAGTGCTCCTGATGGCCGTCTCCCATCTCCAGACCACGACCTAGCCTCCCAGTTCTTTGGGGGGCACTGAGGTATCCAAACACCAACCCTTGTATATACCATTTCATATTTTCTTGCTTTGTTCTTGTTTTTCTTGGTTTTGCCCTCTTGAATCTTTCACTAAATTTTTCTCACACAAGGGACTGTGTGATTTAAGTTTGGGGGAGGGTTCAAGAGATGATTTAACCTTGTTTTCTTTGTTCTTAGTTTTTCATTTATCTTTTGCATAGAAAAACCAAAAAAATCATAAAATTTTCAAAAAATCCAAAAATATTTTCATCTTTTTGCATTCATATTTGTTAGACTTGTTTAGGATTGCATTTTTCACTTGCATTGTTGATTTGACTTTGAAAACTTGTCCATCTTTTGCGATTTCTTGAGTGCCCTGTTTTTAGATTCTTTTGTGCATTAGGGTGAGATTGATTGAGCAGCAAGAACCATGTTTATCTTGATCATATCACTGCATGCACATCTCATTCAACCATTGCTGTGATTTGATGCATTTCCCTATCTATTTGAACCATAACTTGATCTTTAATTACCAATGCTTGCATTTGATTTCAACTCATGGCTACCACATACATATCTGGACATTCTTTACCATTTTCATATCCCTTTGCTTGTCCAGATAGCTGATCTCTATCTTTGAGACAGTTACCACACCTTAAACCTAAGCCTTTTCATTTCAAACCCCTTATTATCTCTTGTGCGAATGTGAGAACCTTTCTTGGCTTTGCTTAGCATAAGGTGTTGTGTTTAAACCGGCAGGGGCAGTAGTTCTAGTTGTCTAGTTCTCTTGGGATTGTTTTCAGGCTAAGTTTGGGGGTGCCAACTCGAGCTCGATCGAGTTGGGTGTAAAAACCAGAAAAGTGGTAAAAGTTGGGAAAAACCCAAAGGAAAAAGAGTTTAGTTAAGTCCAGGGAGTTGGCAGTGTTTAAAAGGGTCTAGTAAAGGTTTGGGAAGTTAAAAAAGGAAAGTAAAAAGGGTTCTAAGTAGAATGAAAAGAAGGCAAAGCCTCAAGTGTCAAAAAGGAAAGAAAAGTTCCCTAAGTGTTTAGAAAATCCCAAACCGCTAGATGTTACCTCAAGAAGCCTCTCCCTAGGAAGTTCTTAAAAGAAAAGTGAGCAAAGCTCCTCAGTTTCAAAGGCGAAATGCCAAAAAGGGTAGTTAGGATTTTGTTCTAAAAAGCTCTAAGTGTTGAACTCGATCGAGTTAGGATTAGGCGGCTCGAGCTGCTGTTCTTGCATCATCTTTGGTTCTAACACTTAGCCTTCTGCCAAAGCAAAGCCACTTTCTTGAGAGATCCCTGTTACTAAACCACCATACAAAAGAGACCCTCTTTGTCTCTTAACCCATAAACCCTTGAAACCAAATGAGTTGATTGATCTTGCATGTTTTTGGTTCACTGTTTTTGCTTAATGAATGTTAAAGGGATTTGCTGATTTGAATGCATTGTTTGAGTGACTGTGAAGTGGGATTGATGTTGATAAGCATGGTTAAATCTTAATGAATATCTCTCACCTTGTTGCATTCTAGAATCTCTAAGTTGGACATTTAGCAAATCGCTTTTGAGGACATGTTTTTAAGTGTTGAATCAGCTATTTTCAAACCTCATCTCTTTCTTGTTCTATTTGTTTGCTTGAGGGCAAGCAAAGTTCAAGTTTGGGGGTGTTGATGTACTTGCATTTTACATAGTTTTAGCACATCTTTTATGCATCTTTTGCATAGTTTTAGCTTCCATTTGCATCATATCTTGTTCCTTTTCTCTTCTTATGCATTCATGTTAGTTTTAGGTTGCATTTGCATACATATGCATGTTTGGTCCTTTGAAATAGGTCTTTTGGAGCATTCTGGAGCATATGGGACAAGGAGCATGGAGGGACTTGGCACATGGAAGCAGCTCAACTGGATACGCAAAGGAAGAAGGGAGAAGCCATCTTGAAGACCAGCTCGACCGTCCACTCGACCAACCGGTCGAGTTCCTCAACTCGACCGGCCAAGCTTCAACTCGATCGAGCTGGAAGTCAAAGTCAAACCCGAAAAATGTTGCTTCCCCCTTGACTTTCCTTTGACCCTAAACCTAATCCTCTTGTATTTAAAGGCTCTAAGCCACGAAAAAACCAAAGCTTTAGATTATTTTGTTTTAGTTTCTTTTAATTTATTGTCTTTACTTTTTAGAACCTAATCCCATCTTTGTGTTCTTGAAGCTCTTGCTTCTTGAATCCTTAGATCCTGGATTAATCTCTTTGTATTTGCACTTGCTTATTTCAATAAAAGTTGTTTATTTCATCTCCTCTTTCTTATGATGTCTCTTTTATTGCATTTGCTTGTGTTTACATTCATGTGTAGTGAGTAGTTACCCATTAGGGTTTGAGATGGGATAGATTAGAGGTTTCATATGCTTAATCCTTCTAGCTTATGGTCTTAATCTAGATTCTCTCTCTTTTGGATAGATCTTAAGGCTACATGACCACTACCCCTGGCTTGTAAGTCCTTAGGCGACTCCCCACACGGAAGTGATGGCATTCGCTGGAAAAGATCCACTAAGAGCTCCAATATCTCTTGCTCTAGACAATAGAGGTCTAAGGGGTTGGATGGATTAGTTTGGGCAATGATCCTATGCCTCCAAGGTTTGATTCTCACTGGCTAACCCCCTGTTTCTGAGATCATTCCTTGGTTGATAGCCTTCACCTTGGGAAAGGGTTGGCTAGGCATTGAGAAGCCCAATATCAAGAGAAGCCTTGATACAAGGAGTTTTAAGAGCTAGATTGATTAAGTGTAGATTCCTTTGATTGCAAAACCCTGTCTTGAACCCTAATTCTCTCTTTATCTTGTTAAAGTCGTCACCTTTAGCTTTGTTTGTCTCAACTCGTCCCTAAACTCGATCGAGCTGGTACTTTGTTCTACTCGACTCGAGCCTTGGTCGAGCTGACACTTCACTGCTTTCTTTACTTTTATTGCACTGCTTTTCTTTATTTTTAGGTTGTTAGTGTTACTTCAAATCTTTACTGCTTGCTTGACTTTCTGGTTGTTTCATATTCTCATAGAGTGACAAGTTTCCCATTTTGGATTGATAACCCTTTATACTACATCAACTATCATGGTTAAAGGGAATTGTTGACTGTGTTTGTGTTTGCATCTTACCACCATCATATACCACTGATTGCATTCCACATCTCATTTCATTCTTTTCACATCCACACACAAACCTTTTATCATCAGTGCTCTGCTTTCTCCATAACTTGCAGGCATTTGGCTTCTTCTAGCTCCCTTTTCTCTCTCACAGCAGCAAGAATGACAAACATTCTGTTCTTTGTCATGTCTGAATGCATGATCATTCTCTGTTGCTCTTTGTGCCATATCTCGCATGTATCATCCTCGATAATCACTCTCAAGCATTTCTCTTGCAATTGCCCCAGGCACAAAGTAGACTGAAGAGATCAAATGAACGTGACCATTGATCTCCAGGCGCAAGCTTCCTTTTCCCTCCACCATCATTCTGCGATCATCACCGAGCTTGACATTTTGACGAAAGTTGCTGTCAAGCTCAATGAACCATTCCTTTGTACCACACATGTGGTTACTACAGCATGAGTCAAGGAGCCAGACGTGTTCCTCCTCTCCTCTCACCATATCGATGTGCGCCATAAGGAGAATATCCTCCTCTATCTCTGCATAGTTGGCTTCTTTGTCCCACTCTGGACATTCTGACTTGTAATGCCCCATATTGTGACATTTGTAGCATTCAATATGCTCCTTAGAGGTTGATCCACGCCCTCTGCCTTGATATCCACCACGTCCTCGTCCATGATATCCTCCTCTGCCTCTACCGGCTCCCCATTGTGCTTCCATCTTGAGAGCATGTTCTTCTCCCACATGCCTGCTCAGATTCTGCTCATGCACCATCAAAGAGCTCTGCAGTCCATCCACTGTCAAAGTTTTGATATCATTTGACTCTTCAATGGCACATACCACGTATGTAAACTTCTCCACCAGAGTTCTCAAGATCTTCTCAACCACCTTAGAATCCGGCATATCTTCTCCCAAGTTTCTCATGTTGTTGGCAACCTCCATCACTCTTGAGAAATACCATGTGATCGTTTCTCCGATCTTCATTTCAAGAACCTCAAAGTCTCAGCGCAGCCTTTGCAATTGCGCACTTTGAACTCTATCATTCCCTTGATACTTCCTCTTTATTGATTCCCACAAATCCTTTGAAGTCTCCTTCTTCAAAATTGTCTTGAGAATCGTCTTGTCTATGGAGGCAAAGAGATAGTTTTTCACCTTGTGATCTGTGACGGTCTTCTCCGCCATCTCCGTTCGTTGTGCACCGGTGAGGATCACATTCCTCTCCACCCTTGGAATCCCTGTCTCGATGAGATCCCACCATTCCTTCGACTTCAACAAGTTTTCCATGAGCATAGCCCAATGCTCGTAATCACCATCAAACTTAGGCACGATCAAGTTATCTTTCTCACTCATTTTGTGTTTCTCTCAGGTTCGCAACAAGCTCTGATACCACTTCTTGGATATGGATCAGAGAGCTTTTGTAAAGACAGAGAGAATGCTGAATAATACTTGTATTGAACTAGAAAGGAGAACGGTCCTTTAATAGACCTTTACAACGAGACTCCGAAACAAACTCCAACTACAACAGACTCGATCTAAACGTGATCTAGTTCCTACAATATAGGAAGACTTATTCAACAAGAAACTTCAAACTACCAATTGACTTAAACCAAACATAAACCAAAAGCATAAACCAAACTTAAACCAACATTTATTCTTCATACAGAGACAAAAACTCAATCAAAAATGGGTTATAAATGTTATCTTCGCCATTTTCGAGGCAAAACTGGCTTATCTCATATATAATCCTTTTCGTGAAAGAAGATTAAGTTGTAAGTAGAGGTCACATTTCTTCAGAATTGCTCAATACGATTGAGTTGATTTTACTCATTTTGTGTTTGAGAAGTAAGTTAAGTAACTAACTAACTATTGTATTGATTTACACAGAATAATGTGGCTCTGGAAAGTTGAGATCCAAGGAGTTGGTTAGAGGTTTCGTTTTCTGATCTTGTTCTCATGAAGATACAAGATGAGTCGCCTTCCGATGAAAACCACCCTAGACATATGTAAATGGTACAGAAAAGTTTCTCAAATTCTTCAATAGACATTCTCTCAGAGTCGTCTCATTTCGCGGGGAATATGGTTGAATGTTATAGAAAATGTCATAAATGAAACACAAACTCACGTTTGGATGTCACTGCCATACTGATTGTTATTCGTATTTCATGAAATAACGTCAAATTTCATTATCATTTTGTATTAACATATGTGATAGGTGATAGGTGATAGGTGAAACTTAATCATCACTACTATATTTATATAAATTAATATGATACCATTAAAATTCGTAAAATAAAAGAAAATAAAGTTGATATATATATATTGTTAGAACTCAAGTATTTTGTTTTTTTTTCCGATATTTCTTAGGATTCCAATCCTGGTACTAAAAGATACGACATTTCCTCTTTCCAGCTAATAGAAAGTGATATGTATGGTCATGGACTCATTGTAGGAATCGTACAAAAATTCTACGAAGAGATAAGACCACACATAAGAAGTAAGAAGTGTATGATTTTGCCACTCGTTTCCCTACTTTCCTTTTCTTATTTTGTTTTACGTGTTCGCATAAACTAGATCTTACAAACAAAACAAAAACAAAAAACATTAATTATACTTCGATTCATAGGTGATGACACTGATATGTGAGATGGATAATATTATTAACAAAAAAAATAACGTTTTCAGTGAGTGGCCCGACACTGTTTGTCACACCATTCAACTACAATATATATGAATCGACCTCCACTTCTCGATAGAGTAAACTTTAAAGAAAAAGAAGATCAGTTTTCTATAGTTTCCCTTTAAAGAAAATAGAGATCCATGGAACAGTCTCTTCATGCGCATGTGATGCTCGTATCTTTCCCAGGCCAAGGCCACATAAACCCTCTTCTTCGTCTTGGAAAGCTTCTAGCCTCTAAAGGCTTAATAGTCACCTTTGTCACCACAGAGCATCCATGGGGCAAGAAGATGCGTCAAGCCAACAAGATTCAAGACGGCGTGCTCAAACCGGTTGGTTTAGGTTTCCTCCGGTTCGAGTTCTTCAACGACGGTTTAGCCGACGACGACGAAAAAAGACTCGACTTCCATGCCTACCGACCACACCTTGAACTTGTCGGAAAACGAGAGATCAAGAAACTCGTCGAGAGATACGAGAAGGAACCGGTGACGTGTCTTATAAACAACCCTTTCGTGTCGTGGGTATGTGACGTGGCCGATGAGCTTCGAATCCCTTCGGCTATTCTATGGGTCCAGTCTTGTGCTTGCCTCACCGCGTATTACTATTACCACCACCGGTTAGTTAAGTTTCCGACCAAAACCGAACCGGAGCTTAGCGTTCAAATCCCCTCCTTGCCGTTACTGAAGCATGACGAGATCCCAAGCTTTCTTCACCCTTCCTCTCCATACGCAGCTTATGGAGAAGTCATTTTAGACCAGTTCAAGCGACTCGAAAACCACAAGCCTATCTCTATTTTCATCGACACTTACCAAGAACTAGAAAAAGACATCATCGACCACATGTCACACCTCCTCCCTCAAGTCAGCATTAGCCCTGTTGGTCCGCTATTAAAGATGGCTCAAACCATAAGCTCTGACATTAAGGGAGACATAGCCGAGCACGCGGGTGAGTCCATTGAGTGGCTTGACTCGAGAGAGCCATCTTCCGTCGTTTACATCTCTTTTGGGACTGTGGCTCACTTGAAGCAAGAACAGATCGATGAGATCGCTCAGGGACTTGTAATCTCTGGCTTGTCTTTCTTATGGGTTGTGCGGCCTCCCATGGAAGGATTAGGAGTAAAACCATATGTTTTGCCTCGAGAGCTTGAAGGGAAGGGTAAGATAGTGGAATGGTGTCCACAAGAGAAAGTGTTGGCTCATCCCGCGATTTCTTGCTTCCTAAGTCACTGCGGATGGAACTCAACGATGGAGGCTTTGTCTTCTGGAGTTCCCGTGGTTTGTTTTCCGCAGTGGGGAGATCAGGTGACGGATGCCGTGTACTTGGTTGATGTTTTCAAGACAGGAGTGAGACTCAGCCGTGGAGCGTCTGAGGAGAAGATTGTGTCGAGGGAGCTAGTGGCGGAGAAGCTTCTTGAGGCCACCGTTGGAGAGAAGGCAGTGGAGCTGAGGGAAAACGCTCGGAGGTGGAAGGAGGAGGCGGAGGCCGCCGTGGCGAGCGGTGGATCATCTGATTTGAACTTTAACGAGTTCGTGGACAAGTTTGTCACGGAACCTGTGGCGAGAAAAGACGACGGAAAACACTAATGATTATGTCTCGTAAGAATCCAAAATGTTGATGTTACTCCAAAACCTAAACACCACAACATGCGTCTTCTACATTTTCATGTTTTTCTCTTTTTATTTCTTGAGAAAAAAGTCACATCGATCTCATCTCATGCCCCTAGTGATATCAATCATTATGTTCATTCCATTTCATCGCTTAGATATGGTTATCTTTTAAATTTTATGGATGTTTAAATTTTGGTCTTAAAAACAAAAGGAATCGGGTAAGACTGTGGTTTGGATTGTTTTAAACGGAAATTGTTCATGTTGAATCCGAGATAGCACTCGTCAAGACGGGCTATCTAAGATGTGAGTTTAGGAAACTGGAACGCTTAATTCGACTCTTAGATTATCAAGAAGATTACAAGAGAGCAATCTCGCTAACAAGCCTAGCGAGATTATGGTGATGAACAAGAGGATAGAGTAAAAGCTAATGTGAGAGCCTAGTGATTCTAGATGATTTCGGATCCCTCTCCCAATGGGGGGGTCTTCAATATATATGGTTGATAAGTCGGCCGAATGGAATATTCTCCTTCAGGCGAGATGGAAAACTTCCTCTTTTGCGATATGGAAAATTCCCTCTTGTTTTTGGATCTTTCTCCATTCTTTAAGTCGGCATGAAGATTTATTTACATTTCTCCATGGATTGTGCCTTTCTCTTCAAGTCTTGCCTTTTTCTTGAAGATGTTAGGCCTAAAATCGGATTGGGCTTTGTTACTTTACTAATGATGACGGGCTCAGGGAAATGTGCTAATTTCTCCTCTAACAGTTCATAGTTAACAGAATATTAGATTTACACAGCGTTTTCGTATTTGGTATTGTTAAAGACTTAAAGTGTTAAACGATGCAAATTCTAGTTTATGGCCCAACTCCATCAAGTGGAAACCACTAAACCATCTGTTATTTTGTTAGTTAGAAGATTGGACCACTAGAACTTTTTGTTATTTAGCTTGCTACTCGATAGTTATTTTGTTAGTTTTCGGTAAAAAAAGTTCAGTTAATTTTATGTTAACATATGTCATCAACTCATCATCTAAACAATATACATATGTTACAATCTAATGAATAAAAATTTGCCATCAACTCCTACGTATCAAATTAATGTCGCATGCATAAATTATATGCCACAAAATATCCCTTCTATGCATGTGGTTTAAATTGTTCGACATTCGAGAGTGGTGGTTGTTGCATACAGCGTGTACGTGATTACACAGTAATATAATTTGACAGTTGACTTTTTGGTCAACAAAATTAATTATTGGTTTTTGCCCACTTTGGAACCCTCTTGCAAATCAGAGACGTAAGTCTGTACCGCATGTTACGCAATCGTTTCAAGTTTGAACTTCCTATTTGTTGTTGTTACAGTTAAGTTGTACTAATCTTGTTTTTTTTTTCCTATTTCAGAGACATTGTTTTGAGTGGATAAATTTGAGCAAAGTGCCAAAGACACTTAGACAGAGAGATACAAAAGCAGCAAAAAGGACCACACAAGCCCATTAATAAGAAATTGATGTATCATAATTGTAAGAAACTGAAAGTGCATGTGGTGAAATCCAATCGTTATCGTACGCATGTGCATGCTTTCAACGTTTTTGGTTTCATTTAATTTGCATCAATTGATTACAAATGTTGATGGTTTTGCGTCTGCCCTTTACTTATTAGCATCTAGGTGTGAACCACATAGATCCACTAAACTGACCCTGTGGCATAAACTACTGGTGGGCTCATTTTTAACGCGCAACTAACATTGATGTCATTTCAATTCAATTCTTTTTCTTGTTGTGCCTACTTGTTGTGCCTACTTGTTGTTGTATGAAGATATTGTGTTTGTGTATTCTCTCTAATAAATATTACATTAAAATGCAACTTATCCAAACAACTGAAAATACCTTTATTTGTCTAGGCAGCCAATGTAAACATAATTTAGCCAAATTAGTCAATGTGAAAATCAACCATTTTTGTTTTGTTTGTCTAAATTAAACGTCTGGTTCATCAGTTTAGGACGATTAGTGTATATTTATTTTGTCTTCTTATAAAAGTATACAAAAACAAATATGTTTAACATTATATTACATTTAATAAAATATACTAACATACCATGACATTAACAAAAAACTATGATTAAATACTAATTAATCTCAATCAAATTTTCGATTGGTTAGGCATCAAAGGGATTTTGGAAGAAAAATGGAAAACAGACTCAACTACTACGATAGTTTGCTAATATTATATGAACTTATGGGAAAGAAAACAACACGTCGATCGGTTTGCAACAACAAAAATGTCACGCAACGCAAATTGTGTGGTAAGTAAGATGTGTGGTAGCGAGAGCGAGTGAGCATGTTTGAATAAAAAGTGTTTGAGGCTATCTATAAATAAAGAACCTCTTATTACATGGAATTTTGTAAACACAACTTGCGATATCTTCTTACATACAAGTACAACGTAGCTGATACTGATATAGCTCTATTGTTATATTCAAGAAAGATGAAGTTGGAATCTTGCTCATCTCCAAAGCAGATTCATATAATGCTCGTGTCGTTTCAAGGACAAGGCCACGTCAATCCTCTTCTTCGTCTCGGCAAGCTAATCGCTTCAAAGGGAACACTCGTCACCTTCGTCACTACGGAGCTTTGGGGCAAGAAAATGAGACAAGCCAACAAGATCGTCGACGGTGAGCTTAAACCGGTTGGTTCCGGTTCGATCCGGTTTGAGTTTTTCGACGAGGAATGGGCAGAGGAAGACGCCCGGAGAGCTGATATCCCTGTGTACCTTTCACACCTCGAGCAAATCGGGAAACGAGAAGTGTCGAAGCTCGTGAGGAGATACGAGGAAGAGAACGAGCCGGTCTCGTGTCTGATCAACAACCCGTTTATCCCATGGGTTTGCCACGTGGCGGAAGAGTTCGACATTCCCTCTGCTGTTCTCTGGGTCCAGTCTTGTGCTTGTTTCTCTGCTTATTACCATTACCAAAACAGCTCTGTCTCTTTCCCGACAGAGGAAGAGCCTGAGCTTGATGTTAAGCTTCCTTGCGTTCCACGCTTGAAACACGACGAAATCCCTAGCTTCCTCCTTCCTTTGTCTTCTCACTTCTCCGGTTTGCGGGAAGCCATTCTTGGACAGTTCAAGAATCTAAGCAAGCCCTTCTGTATCTTGATCGATTCATTTGACGCATTGGAACAAGAAGTCGTCGACTACATGTCGAGTCTCTGCCCGGTCAAAACCGTTGGACCGCTTTTCAAAGTCGCCAAGACGTTGGCCTCTGACGTAAGCGGTGACATCTGCAAACCGGCGGATCAATGCCTCGAGTGGCTAGACTCGAGGCCGAGATCATCTGTCGTCTACATTTCCTTCGGGACGGTTGCGTATTTGAAGCAAGAGCAGATCGATGAGATCGCTCATGGAGTTTTGAAGTCGAGTTTGTCGTTCTTGTGGGTGATTAGACCTCCATCGCACGAGCTCAAAGTCGAGACTCATGTCTTGCCTCAAGAGATAAAAGAAGAGAGTGATAGAGGCAAAGGGAAGATTGTGGAATGGTGTCCACAAGAGCAAGTCTTGGCTCATCCATCAGTGGCGTGTTTCGTGACTCATTGTGGATGGAACTCGACGATGGAGGCTTTGTCTTTGGGAGTTCCGGTGGTTTGCTGTCCTCAGTGGGGAGATCAAGTGACGAACGCGGTTTATCTGATTGATGTTTTCAAGACGGGAGTGAGGCTTGGCCGTGGAGTAGCGGAGGAGAGAGTTGTTCCTAGGGAGGAAGTGGCGGAGAAGCTTTTGGAAGCGACGGTTGGGGAGAAGGCGGAGGAGTTGAGGGAGAATGCTTTGAAATGGAAGGTGGAGGCGGAAGCGGCGGTGGCTCCTGGAGGTTCATCGGAGAAGAATTTCCGGGAGTTTGTGGAGAAGTTAGGGGTTAAAGAGAACGGACGCTAGACAAGTGTTTCAGTCTTAAATTCTGTTTGTTATTGTTTCATCTAATTAAGTGTAGGTCATGTTTGTATTTGTTTTTCACCGTTTAATTGATTAATTCAATGTTTGTTTCTATCTAGTTATTTTTTGGGGAAATTTCAAAACTACACCTCTTGAGGTGCAAATTTTCAAAAATACACCTTTATGGTGCCAATTTTCAAAACTACACTTTTTCCATTTAGTAAAAAACTCTAAACCCTAAAATATAAATCTAAAATCCTAAAATCTAACATTGAACCCTTAAATCTAAACCCTAATATAGGATTAGTGAACCCAAACATATATATTAAAATTGGGAAAAGGTGTATTTTTGAAAATTTCCACACTATAGGTGTAGTTTTGAAAATTTGCACATCAAGAGGTGTATTTCATAAAATTTCTCTTATTTTTTTCATTTTCTTTCTTATGTGATTCTCCCACTACAGAAAACACAATGTGTTGCTTGCAAAACAAGTAATTTACAGAGTCAATTAGACAAAATGTGGAAAACAAATTATACAAAGCAAAATTGTGACGTGTCATGTTACTTGACACATGTCATATTTACATTGGTCATGTGACTTGCTTTTGTATATAAAGGATTTCTCGATTCGGTATAAATTATAATAAATCAAAAGTCAAAACCCAAAAAATAGCCTTCAAAGAAACAGAGATCGAGTTCCACGTCTTTTTCCTCTTAGAAGCTTATGGAGGAAAAAGAGTGGGAAGTTTCCTCTTCAATCGAAAACGAAGCTGGTTTTCCAAACGATGATGACCAAGAGTTTCATTCTGGTGGTTACAATTCAGGTTGATTAAATTTCACTGGATTTAGCTGTCCTGTTAAGCTAATTATTCTCTTACAATCATTCTCTCTGTGTGTTTGCACACTGTAGAGTAGGATCTTCCAAGTTCCAAAGGTCGTTGGATTGATGAATTAGGAATGGCTCAAGTAGAGGTCAAAAGAGGGAAACTTTGGACAACAACTGGAATCAAAAGCATATTGCTTCATAGAAGAGGCTTTGTATGTGGCAAAACAAAAACATCATTTCAAGGTTTTTAGGTATGCAGTCTCTGATGAAAGTCTCTTTCTTTTTCGCATTCTCTTCTTTGGGTTTTTTGCAGGTATTTGAGTGAAATAGGAGTGTTGCAGATCTTAGGTGACAAGGATGATGACACAGTGATCCCATTGAAGGGACTTGTATGAGAAAATCGCAGAGGAAAAGAGCGGCTGCATGTTGCTTTTGACATGTATTTGCCAAACAGCCGGTTCAAGAAGTCTTCTCCTGGTGAACCTAGCTTTGTCGCTTGCTTCTCGGGGTAAGCGTGTGTATTCGTAAGCTTGAGAGTTCTGTTTGACAAATACACGTCACATCAAGTGGATCACTCAATGTAATGATATTTTTTGATGGTGGTTCGTCTTCTCTCCATGGCATTACCGAGGCTTTGGAGCTCTACATGAACAGAGACCAAACAGAACTCTTTCACGCAGGTATGCCCCTAGAGGGAACCAAAACACTATTGAACTATGGAATTTGATAATCTTATTGATACAGAGATATGTCGCCTTTATATAGAGTTACGGGGCTGAGATAAGGAAGAGAGAATATACAGCGAGTTAAGGGAGTGATATGTTGCGTGGAGAGGAGAGTGATTGGTGATACGGTTTCCATATCTAATAAACACAAATTGGAAACTACTTTCATATTGAGATAACAGAAATATACAATTAGCAGAGTTCTTCAGTCGTATTAATAATCCCTCTTTGCCAAAACTGCTATGGACTTTTACTCAAGATATCAATACCCTAACTTCATTTAATAACAAGAACAACGTAGAAATTACATAGATATATACTACTAATAATGATCAAATCATGACCGAGAATTATGATAGTCACTAATGCATGCCTTGCAAAGATGTAACCCAATTCGTCGAAAACGCCACCAAACCCTAATTGATTTTCCCCTGACGAATGATTTGAGAAGGTGGCGTTGTCGTCTGAAACCCTAAGATGATCTTCCGTCTCCTTCGGCTTGGAACCCTTGATCCTCTCGACAACAATTACCACTTTTTTCTTCTTGATTCCAGCTATGTGGGACTCGATGCAAGAAAGGTGATTCGTAAGTTCTTCGACAGACAAACCCTCGAGATTTGGGAAATCGTTGAGATCGCAGCCGTTTCTCTTCCTCTTTAGATCGCTCTGCTCGTTGAACCTGGCCACGATATCTGCTAAGGCTTGCGGGTTCTCCTTCGGCTCCGGCCAGGCGTAAAGATCGTCGTCGGGTCCGTAACAGATAAACCCGACGGAGTTGCCGCACAGAACAGAGAGCTCCGTCGCTTTCTTCTTGCAATTAGGAAACCTTTGTTTGAAAAAGGCTCTCTTTTTCTTCATGATATCACCACCATCGGACTTGATCGTGACGAGTTTCTTCTTCTTCTCGCGAGGAGCCATCTTTAGGGTTCAGAAAGAAAGCGTTGTAATTTAACGGAAGGAGATCAAAAATTGAAACTTGATCGCAGCAAGAAAGACAGAGAGAGATAGAGAAAGTAATGATGTGAAGGAAAAAAAAAAAAAAATTGAGACGCTAATGCAAATATAAAGAGTCAGAGACGCAGAAGAAGCTTCCTTCTCCAACGGTCATAATTCTCTTTTTTTTCCCGCCCAAATCTTAGGTCGGTGCTATTTATTTTTTTACTTACTTTTGAAGGATGAACAATTTTTATTTTATTTACACATTTTTTGTTTTCCTAACGATTTCAAGTTTTTTTAAATGATAATTTTCTCTTGTTAAACGATCTATAGCATATATCATCAGTCAGATTCCTGGTTGCTTTTCTCTGAACATCATGACCAATGACAAAACTTACTACGTTTGTGAATGATCCTATAAAAGACTTAAGAGACACGAGTTTGTCACTAATTAGCTTTTGGTTTCAGGTTTGAGATTTTAAATAACTATGTAAAACCGAAGAAATTAAAGTCAAACTATGGTTTGGTTTTTGGCTCTCGGGTTCAGTCGAAACTCACTCAGCTCTATCAACGTTTTTAAACCGAAATCGGATATGATTGGTTAAACTCAGCTCTTCTGTATGATTAATTTTAAACTAGATAAAATTGGTTTAGTTAAACCGAAATCGGTTTGATTAGGGTTACAACAACGTCAAGTTATTTCCTTTTTCCGTAAAGCACACTCTCTCTATATATAATCACCTGACTCTTGTCTTCTTCTCTCCACACGCAAAACAAAACAAAATTTCCCTTTTACGATTATCTACTCGTTCTCACTCTGTGGTTTGTTGTTGAAAAAAAAAGCGAGAATGGTGAAAAGCGGCGGAGGAACAAAGAGAAAGCTTCCGATGGAGAAGATTAGCCAGAAAGAATCACTCCGAACGTCTTTCACGAAACGAACTTACGGGCTTCACAGCAAAGCCTCACAGCTATGTCTCCTCTCCGGCGCACAGATCGCCGTGATCTCTACGCCTCCTTCGTCCCACTCCAACGTCTCATTCTACTCCTTCGGTCACTCTTCCGTCGAGGCCATCGTCTCCGCTTTTCTCACGAGACAGCGTCTCGTTCCTGTTCGCGAGGGGAACACTAGTAGAGAAGACGTTGGTATCGCCTTGGCTCGCAAGGACATAGGGCTAGGGTTTTGGTGGAACGACGAGTTTCTCACGAGATCAGAGAATCCCGATGAGATCGAGGAAGCAATCGAGTCCATGTCGATCCTGTTGAAGAAATTGCGTTCGATCAATGACAACGAAACCCTAACTCTTCAATCCACTTCTGAAGATGATGTTGTTGTGTCATCAGATGTCAGCGAAGAGCAAGCTGAGATTTTTCCGATTTGTGAGGGCGTTTGTGTTACGGACAAGAACAACAACAGCTCTGTAAGTACTGGAAGCTTCGATGTGTGCGATCAAGAGATTGATATTGATCAATTTATTGATTTCGAGATGCCTTTTGATACTTCAGCATTCGATGATATCCTTTTGGAGACTAACGGCAAGTGTTTTGATGAATCCTGAAGATGTTTGGACGAATCCAAATTAAATCTCTGATTTATGAAGGTTTTGAAGATGAAGATCTTGGTGTATTCAGAACAGAGTGAATCTACGCTTCTCTGACATTTTTGTAGCGAGTTAAGCAACATTGCTTGCAGTTTGAAGAACATAACAAGGTTGATTAGTTATAATTTTAGTAACTTCTGTGTATTTAGCGATTGTTTCGGTCAAACTATTGATTTGAGATATGTCTTATCCATGTAATGAAGTGTCTGGTTTGATCTTTGATCAATTTCCGAGGAGAAATTTGATCCAACTCAAACCGGATCAGCTTTTGTTTGGTTTAATGATAAAACTTGAGATGTATCTTTACGAGTTTCAAAATCCAAAACTTGGGACTTTATGTGAATCTTATCTTGATATTAACTGTGTTATATTTGGTAGCTAAGCCAAAAAGGTAATAATATCATAGACTTTAATTTTCAAAGATTAGCCAACATTAGTTAAAGAAAGTTCCTTTTTGCTAAGCTTTTGATTGATTTGTTTTCTGCCTTTTTTATGTAATCATGTAAAAGCCTCTTTAGATCATATTGGAATATCACATCATCCTCTTTAATAAAAAAAATAAAAAAAAAAAAGTACAACAAAGAGTTGGCAACTACACATTTGCAAAAAGCTAAGCTAAGCTAAAGGTACAACAAAGAGTTTGCAAACAATTCATTAGCCAAAGTTTTTAAGAACAAGAAGCCAGAAAGCAAATGTTCTTAATTTCACACTGAATCAAAGATCTCTAAACCAAAGTTCCAAATAGCTACATAAAATGTCAGTTTCTGTTTTACTTTTCAAGTTGGGCTGGAACACAAATACTGTATTAAGTATGATAAAGACTTTTACATCCATGTACAACACAGTTCACATCAACATACGTTTAGACTAAGTGTGACTTTATTAAAGAAACACAAACACAAATCTTCTGAAACCGACCTTGAAATTTACTGAATCTAGAGATCCATACAGAGATAAGAGATAACCGATCCAGCTCTCCTTATCGTCCTCTCGCTCACTTTCCATTTCTCTATCAACACCTTTTTGATGTGTGGACAGCTCGAGACGACAGTAGCCACTCCAGCCGAAGTGATCCCGGGACAGTAAACCATGTGACAAGTCTCTAGAACTCTACACCTTTGCACAAGATGGTTCAGACCATTGTCTGTTACATGATGGCAATGAGACAGAACCAAGTCCTTAAGCATTGGACATCCTTCTCCAAGCTCAGCCAACGACATGTCTCCAATGTTCTGTTTCAAAGCCAGAGAGAGCTTTGAGATCTCAATAACAAAACACATATAAAGTAAAATGTTGGTTTTATTTTACCTGAAGCACACTGATGTCTAGGTGAGTGAGTTGAGGACAGCCTCTAGCTATTGCTGAGATCCCTGCATCTCCGATTTGATGACAACCACTTACGTTTAGTTGCTGTAAAGAGCAACCTTTGCCAATGGCGATTAATGCTACATCTCCAACTCTAAACAAACATCAAATCGATTAGCTTTCGTCCCAGGATACATTTCAAGAAACAAGAGTTGTAGGATTTTTACTTATCGCAAAACCGCAGACTAAGCTCGGTTAGTGATTTGCAATGCTTTCCAACAGCTATAACTCCTTTGTTTCCAATCTACAAAAGAAAAATAAACAAAAAATAAGAGTTTTGATGTTAATACTTAACATATCAAGAGAATACTTTATTTACAAGAGATGAGAGATTATGCCTCATAGCATCTCCGGATATGGAGTTTCTTGAGTTTACGACAGCCTTTAGCGATACTGCACATAGCGGTGTCTCCGATGCCAGAGCAGTCTACTAAGTGAAGTATCTCTAGAGATTTACACCCTTTCCCAATTTCCTGAAGAGCAGAGTTACCAATCCTTTGGCAATATAGTAAAGCCAACTCAGTGAGACGCCTGCACAAACCCGAAAGCAACGGTGTTTAGTCCAACGGTGATTTCAGATGCTTACTGCTCAACAAAAGAAGAAAGGTGAGAAAGAAAATGTACGGGCAAGATTTTCCAATTGCCTCTATTCCAAGAGTACCAATGTTGTGGCATCCATTGATTTCTACACGCGTAAGTTCTTTGCAACCATGAGCAATAGCTTCTAAGCCTTTGCAACTCACAAAGTAGCAATCACTTAGAGTGAGATTCTTCAGCTTCTTACACCCTTTACCAATGGACCGCATGCCCCTGAAAACCACAAAATTAAATCAAAGATAAACAAAAGGGTTGGTTATCAAGATCACAAAAGCTACTTAAGAGGAACAAGATCACTAACTTGTCAGTAAACTGCTGGAAGCTATACAAAGCCAACCGCTCCAACGAGGAACACAACTCTCCAATTACGGAAAACGACTCATCCGTCACATTTACACACTGAAGCTTCAGATTTCTCAAACGGCTGCATCCCTGAGCTACGGCAATCACTCCTTTATCATGGATGTGCTCAGAATCAAGACACAGTATCTCTAGAGATTTACAGTGAGAACCAACTGTTTCCATGGATAAATCTGTTACTTTTGCCGAGGCAGCAACACCAATGGACTTCAAGGTCTTCGCACAGCCAACAACTAGATCGATAACTCCAGCATCAGTCAAGCCTTCGCAAAACCGCAAGTTTAATTCTTCGAGCTGCTTGCAAAACTTCCCAACAGCTGCTAAGCCTTGATCTCCAACAAAGCAACCCTAGTAACGACAATATCCTCTAACCATATGAGATCATATCTTTTATAGAAAGGAAAGTAACATTTATAAATAAACCAGAAAAGAATATCAACAGATCAAAACTAAAGCTTCTTTTTTGTATAAGTTTCAATCACAAAGACACAAAATGTAGCCAATCTCTAACTAAAACATAAGAGCAGCAGCATTACCTGTAAATCCAGAGATTTAAGAGAAGTGCACTTGTGAGCAAGGGAATTCAAACCAAAGCTTGAAACATTAGGGCACCATATCAAGCTCAAGTTTTCAATCCGTGGAAATCCATTCGCAAGAGCGATCAGTCCCGCGTCAGTCAAGCTGCAAGATTCAGCATTCTCGGCTTCAGAATGCCTCGTATTAGTCAGATTCCGGCGTTTACTCGATGAAGGCGATGACTTGTTACTCACACGCTTTCTTTTCTGCGTAATTAAGGTTTTCTTTAAGTCCTCTCAATGATAACAATTGAAATACCAAACAAAACATGCATAGGGGATGAAGTTTTCCCCCAAATAGACCATACTTCTCCAAAAAAAGTGATTAAATTTCAGGAATTGGATCAATGTAGAGCAATCAAAACTTGAAAGCAGTAAAATTTTAATCTCAGATGAGTCTAAAGTCCAGATATCACACAGAATCGGGAAAACGCCTAATTTCAACTAAACTCAAACCAAATTCAAATCCAGATCCATGAAAATTTGACATTTGTATCAAATTCAAATCCTATTTAGAATGTCCGATCTGATCCCAAATCAACAGGACAAATCGATCAAGAGAAACGTACGGATGGAGGAGAGAGGGAAGGAAGGGAGACGTTGAGACGCTCATCGACATGGATGGAGGTAATATGAAGGAAGCGGCGAGAGAGGAGGGTGACGAAGTTGTCTGGAGAAAAGGAAGCGCCGATGCGAAGGGTGGTTCGGCTGAGTCGCTCCAGAGATAGCCATCGCTTGCAGACGAGAGAGCAAGCGTCTCGGCTGGGTTTCGTATCAAGTCGCCGGAATATCTCGAGGATTAGCTCCTCCGGCAAGCAATTGTTGATCCGATCATGACCTCTCATGATTCAGAGAGAGAGACAGAGAAAGAGAGAGAATATTTCACTTGAATCGCTTTGTTGGGTTAGAGGAAGATGATGCGGTCGGTAACAGTTTTGTTGTGCTTAAAGGAGGTCGAGTCATACCAATATCTGAAAAATAGTTCAGTAAAAACAATACTCGATCAGGTAATAAACTTTAGAAGATATAATAAATAGAAGATATACTCGATCAAGATATAATAAAGATATCTTTTCTCTACTTACAGAGGAAATCTTCTCTTTTCAGAAAAGACAAGAAACGAAAACTTTTTGTGAAAAAATGTAAAATTTGTTTTCGTGTGATCGGGGAGAGAAGTAAAACTTGAACCGTTAAAGAAGTAAAGATAAAACTTGATCCTAGTAAAGATAAAACTTGATCCGTTTGGCTTGCATTAATGCGATCCTTTAATAATCAGAATATCAAAGTCGATTCGTCACACCAAGAGCCAACGAAAATCCGCCAAAATTACCAAATTTATTTTCAAACTGAAAAACTCGACTTTGCTTGATTTTTGATTTGTTTACCAAAATGTTTAACCGAATATAGCATCATATACTAGAATTCAGATATACACACAAATGTAAATCACATAAAAGGACTTTGAGTTCTTCTGTTCATAGTTATAACTCCCATCACCAAACCATCATCGTCTTATCTGATGGTGCCTTGTTCAGTTGTCACCTTGCCTCAGGATACGCAATATGGTCAAGAAAAGATTGAGGATGTCCAAGTAGAGAGCCACCGACGCGAGAATGTATTCGTCGTATGTGAAACGCTTGATGAGATTGTCGGTATCGTAGACTATGTATCCGCAGAATACCAATGCGCTGAAAGCTCCATATACGGCTACAGAGGTCGGGCCAAGCGGGAAGACCATCTGCAAAGAGTTATGGTAACAAAACAAAGTTTAAAGCTTTTTCTTTGTAATGTATGTGTGGAATTTGGGTGTTTTTTTTTAGGAAGAGACGGACCTGGATGAAGCTGGTCACTACAAGAATGATGAGGCTGGTGAAGAGAATGGGTCCAAGGAAGCTGAAATCTTTGCCTTTCTTTGCAGCCCAGAAAGTGTATGCGGTTAGAGATCCGACCACAGACAGTGTTAATATCAAAGCTTGAAGGACGATTCTTCCTGTTAAAACACGTAGACGAGAAAAGAAGAGATTGTTACTAGGGCTGAAACGAAACTATAGATCGATGATATGAAAGGGAAAGAGATACAAACCTTCTGTCATAGCACAACTGACACCAACAGTGAAGCTCAATGAGATTGTGAAGAGGGCAAGGAGGATCAGGTTGATAGGATGCTTCTGGTGGTAAATGTGCAGAGGCCAGATTACTGCAAAACCATAATCTCTCCGTCATCAATTCCATGAACAATACACAGTTTCAACATATTAACATATTGAATTATTCTGGTCTGTTCTTTGTTCTACGTAAAGGATGCTTCAAAATTCATCCTTAGGTTTCTGGTTGTTCTTTGTTCTACGTTTCAGTGGCAAATAAAGCAAAGCTCGGTTCTGTAACATTAACACACTAGCTATCACCAAAGCTACAAGCATCAAGCAGCCAATCATGATCCAAATATGTTCAACGAATCCAACTCCAATTTGTATCATCTAAACTAAACCATGAGATTTATAAACAAAGCAGCAAAAGAGATGAATCTCGTTAAAAGGAACTCAATCGTTGAAGAAAAACTGAAACGAAGCGCATAAACATTAAGGCCATAGATACACAATGAGACTCAGGTCTATGGAAAGCAATCAAGAGTAAATGTTACAGTCGAATCATCTTAGGCAACCTCATTCGAATTCGATCCCTGATTTGACTTACTGAAATAGCGTAGCAATAGGTAACATTTGATCATACAATTTAGCATCCAATCAAACAAATTACGCGAATTCGTCTAACTAGAGAAGAAGATCACAGATCAAACCGTAAGAATTCTAATAACCACATCAAATCTAATATACGACGAGAAACGAGGAAAATTAAATCGAAATCCGATGCAAAAAGAATGAGATCTACAGAGAAACAGAAGAAACAAACTACGTACAGATGAAGGGGACGATGCAGAGGAAGAGAAGAAGGCCGGGAGATCCGGTCAAGAGATCGTTGACAGGAGGATTAAGGACAACGACGGCGGAGATAAGCGTGGTGAGGAGGAGCTGGGCTGAGAGAATCCCATAGACCTTACGGATAAATCCCCATCGGAGCTGATTCTCGCCGTAGCTTAGCCCCGGGTAAAGCGTCGCCTCACCGACTCCCATCTCCAGATCGATATCCTTCCCGCCGGCGCGTTCGACGCCGGTCATGCTCACGCTCGCGTACCCGTACGGCTTCTCCATGGCTCAAGCGGATTTCGGTAAACGGTCTTCGAAACAGATCTGGTGAGTTTTTTTGTGTGGAAAATATCAAAAATACAGATTTTTGTTTATATATTCCTGGTTCCAGAAGGAGACGAGTCATTTCCAATGTACACGTGGCAATATGAACGGTGAAGATTAAACGTAGAATTTACGATAACGCGTTGTAAATATGTTTATCATATCCTATTTACGACGATGTTTAGCTTTACATGAAAGAACAAACAGATTGGAGGAGAAATTCGGTAATTTTGAGGAAACCACCATCTGAACTGAAACTATATTTTGTCATAATGATAATTATTCAGTCCACCACCATTAATATTTTAATGCTGTACCTAATCTCAAATATGCTAATCCCTTCTAGGAAGTTTAGGATAATTGATGAAAGTAATTGTAAAATATATTAACTTTTACTTTTACTAAGTTATATAAATATGGTGATTTACTTATTATTTTTGGTCAAGTTCTAGATACTTCTCCTTAAACATGGTGGTTTTCTTTTTGTTGCTGGCCCTAAAGTATCAAATATTCAAATCAAATCATCAGAACTTTTGAATCTTGCCATTTGTCTTGCATTTTTACCTACAAAATGAAACGGATTCATATGCAATTTTCGCATGCATATGGCTTCATGTGAATTTAACCTTTATCGTGCAACAAAGAAATAAATAAACAATAACTTTATGAATATTGCCTACATATATATAGAGTCTTTTAAGATGCCAAACAAAATATAGAGGACTTTCAAAAGCATCTTACCTCACGATAACAAATTCCTTTTCTTCCTGTTTTTAAGGTTACAAACAATTCAAGAATCAAAGATAGTGTATACTTTAATATTACCATGAGAATCACGAAGACTCGAGCACATTTCATAACAAATTATGCGGCAAAACTCGCCGTCCTGCTTATCATCATATTACTTCTCTTCATGTCAACCACCGTGGTTGCCAGAGGCGGCGGTGGTGGTGGCCACGGTGGGGGTCATAGTGGTGGAGGAGGAGGCCATGGTGGTGGAAGAGGAGGCCGTGGTGGCGGCCATGAAGAAGAAGGAAGGCCAGAGATTGGTGGAGGCGGAATGGTTCATCGACCAGTGAGAAGGAACGGAGACTCTGCACTCAATCCTTTTGCGGATGGAACTGCAGCTGTTTTAACGATCATATTTCTTCTTTTCATCTAGAGCTTTAATTGTCTTCGATATCAAGAAATTTTCAGGATTATCTTTTGGTAGGTAAAGTTGTTTCATCGTTAGTTTCAAGAATATTTCACATAAATTCTTTTTGGAGAGACTGATTCTCCAAACTTCCTCCGTAGTAAAGAGAAATTCCTTATTGTGCCTCTGTTCTCCTTTATGGAGAAACTTGGGTCACAAACTTTCTCCTTTAAGGAGAGATTCTTGCAACACTCTGCCTTGATGGCTATGTTTCTAACGGTACGAGCAACAATTGACCACGCAGGGGTCTTGGGGGTTTCAAGAAGGCTTATTCTACAGCTTCGGCTATGGTTCATAGGTTTGTCATCTCCTTGTTTATCTCAAAGGAAACTACAGTTCTTCTCTGTATTTCCTTCAAAGCTATCTTATTTTCATATGTTGTAACATTGTAGCTTTTTCTCTCATTAAGATTTCAGCCTTGTAGCAACTTGGAGAGTGATCTAAAATATACCGTTTGAACCAAAAAAATAAAATCAAAACTTTGAAATCTTTATCGTTAAGTATATCGTTTTAAGTTAATGAGTTTTGGTGTTTTACTTTATGAATTAGGTTTTCATATATATATATATATATATATATTTTTTTTATGTTATGTTATAGTGTTTTCCTTTTCCTTTTTGCATTAGGGTTAGGATTAAGTTATATCAAAAGCTATATAAGTAGGATTAAGAAACCTACTTCTAAGAATTAATCTCAGAGAAAAACTAGAGTTAAGAAGAGCTTAGCCTAAATCTTCCATCTATTGCTTACGTGAACAAAGATGGGAATTACGAAGACTCGAGCACATTCTGTTACCAATTATGCCGCAAAACTCGCGGTGCTGCTTATCATCGTATTACTTCTATTCAAGTCAACCACCGTGGTTGCCAGAGGCGGTGGTGGTGGCCATGCTAGTGGTGGCCACGCTAGTGGAGGCCACGCTAGTGGAGGCGGGGGTCATGTTGGAGGAGGAGGAGGCCATGTTGGTGGTGGAGTAGGTGGTCATGGTGGTGAAGTAGGAGGTCACGGTGTTAGAGGAGCGGGCGGAGGAGGCCACGGTGGTGAAGAAGAAGGAGTGGGAGGGATCGGTCGAGGGATCGGTGGAGGGCGGGGGATTGGTGGAGCCGGAATGGGTAATCCAGGAACAGGAACAAGAACAGGATCAAAGAACGGAGACTCTGCACTTAATCCTTGTGCTTATGGAGCTGCAGCTGTTTTATCTATCATCTTTCTTCTCTTCAACTAGAGCTTTAACTCTTTTCTTTAATTATCTTTTATACCAAGAAATTTCTTGATCTGCTTTTTTTAGGTTTTTTTGTTTAATCATTAGGTTTGAGAAGATTTTATTTTGGCTCCACTCTTTTAATTTTAATGAAGAAATAGATTTCTTTAAGTAAGATTTAAAAAGGTTACAATTCTGAAATCACTCTCATAGTAGACTAGTAGTCCATATACTTATACTCTCTGCCCTCAAGATAAATCCAAAGCCAAGAACATACATAAATGTAACTTGTACTGAACAAATAATTAAAGATCACTTTCTTGAAGCGTTTTTAAGGATCCCTGATGTGAGTGAAGAGGAAGGATAAAAAGCCTTGCGGAGTTTGAGCACATTCATGGCCGTACCAGCTGCGTGTCCCACCGTGCCTAGCACATCTCTCGTCGCTTCCCCCGCGCTCTCACCCAACCTAGTCCATGATGTTACAACAAATCATCACTTATTGTGAGACAAACGTAGATGCAACAAACGCAAAGAAAACAAGAAAGACCTACCTCTCACTAACTATTTTTGTAGTAGCTTTGGACGTAGCAGAAAGAGTTTGTCTCTCTGCAGCTTCAGCAGCGTCTAGTAGTTTATCTTATTTTCAAAATCAAACTATATATTAGTATCATTATCTAGTGTTAATGAGAAGTCAATAACTAATTATAGTCTAAACTTACTAAGAGCATCAAGTGAAGCCAAGAGAACCTCCCCTGGAACCATTGAGAAAAATGCTTTCCCTGGCTTTGACTTCACAACAGGACCCATCACCGAGCCACTCACCACGCCCACACCATTCAACATTGTCTTGCTCAGTTTTTCGGTCGCTCTTGAAAGTCTCCTCACTCTATATATCCACAAATATTATCGTTCCATAAGAAAAAAATACATATACAAAAGAATTAGGAGTGCTCAATCTGGATAAACCGAATTGATAACCGAAACTTTAATTAGGAAATTTGATTAAAACATGAACATGATCAGTACCATAGCGGTTCTAGTTTGATAACTATTTTTCTAAAACCGAATCTATATCAAACTAAACTTGGACTGAATATCCTTACAAAGAATCATTCTTATGGTCAACTATATTTGATATTACCGTAGAAGATTCTTGTTGATTTGATTCTTATTTGTGGTTGATTTTCTTTGTGAAGACGAACCATTCTTCTTCTCAGCCTTTGTGATCATAACCTCACCTCCTTTGTGAACCTGTTATCTCGTAAAACAAACCCCAATATTCAGAATTTGAGATAAATTATAACATGTTCTTTAATTTGGGAGGATTATATAATTAGAAACAAACCTGATTAGTGTAAGCATTACTGCATTTGAACATCCCTCTAATGATATGCCCTGTCCCTCCAGCAATGGCTTTAGCCACAACATTGTTATAATCTTCAATCCTAGGAGCAAACTCTTTCCAATCGATTCCATTGTTAATTCGCGAAGAAGAAGCGGAAGCAGAGGAAGAAGAGAAACACGAGTTCTCTCTCAAGAAATCGTCAAGCAACTCGATGCTGTTCACGAAGACGACGTCGTTCTCGTCTCTTGGCAAGAACGTGACGCCGTAGCTGAGTGGGTCTCCGTCTTTCACCGGAAGCGTGAAGAGGTAGTCGCGAGAGTCGAGTTTCACCACCGGCTCGTCTTTAATCACCGGCCACTGCAGGTCATTTCCGATCCTCACGACCATAGCTAAGGCTACGCCGTTGTCAAAGACTTGCACAAGCTCGAAGTCTCCGGCGGCGAGCTCCACCGCTTCGGATCCGTCGATGAGATGGGCTCTGCATCCTTGAATCTGCAACAGGACTTCTTCTTGGTGCGATGAGTACATGGCGTCTTGCTGTCCGTTTGAAGGTGGTGGTTGTATTTCGGTTCTTGAAGTCTTTGATCTGAACCAACTCATCGCGTTTGAGGTTTCTGATATCTGAAGATAGAGTTTCTATGTTCTTGTTTTTTTTCTTTTCCGGCTTTATTAAAGATAGAATCTTAAAGTCTTGGTTCGAGTTAAGTAAACACAAGAAGTTATTGATTACACTGTTGTTTGTCACTTTCGGTGCTAATCGAGGCACGTTACTTTTTTATGTCGACAATGCTCATGTAGGACCCAACATGACCGCATTTGTTTTCTCTTATGCCGATTTATAATCAGATTATTTAGTTAGTTAGTTTCACTTTTGCAGTAAAATTAAAGCGTACCAAAGTCGTAACCAAATACGGCATGTCGACAATGGTAGGTAGGCCTGCTGGCCTGGGACTTTAGGTTCCGATCGCGTATTTTTGAGGTTTGGTTCTGATTTTTCGGTTTCAGTTCAATTTCTTTGTGATACTTGAAACCCAAACAGTATTTGGTTCTTCTCACTTCGGATTTTGTCGAGATTTCGGATTTTTTTCGATTTTTTCAAATTTTCGGGTTTTTGAATTTAGATATATAAAAATCGATTGGATATATTAAATTTTGGTTCGGGTTTCAGTTAAAAATTAAAAGTTTGAGGCCAAGGGTAGTCTTCAAACTATTTTAAATGCAATTCGTGTTTCAATTCGGTATTATTTAGAGGAGTTTACACAATATTTTATATACACTCCGTTGATATGAAATTGCTGAAGATTTATTACATAATCACTAATGAATCTTCACTTATTTAGCTTTGACGACGGCTGTGATGCTTCCGGCGCTGCCGGTAATGTTATCGTACCGGAGAAATAAATCGGCGATAATCAAGCAAGCCGTGAGAGTGACAATGTCCTTGGCTGCACACTGTTTGTTCGACTCACTCGGAGTACCGGTTTGTGGACCGTTGGACCAAAATAGATAATTAAGCAATTCGGACCCGGTCTGACCTATATACCGGTCCGGTTTAAATTCCTCAGGATCGTCGAACACGTTAGCGTCTCTCATCACCAACGGTTGGTAACCGCAGAGGAGCTCATCCTTCTTAACCTCGAAAACGGCGTCGTGCGAGCTTATCTTGAAATCTTTCCTCGCACGTGCGAATTGCAAAGCAACCGGCGGGCTAATACGCAGCGTTTCGTAAACCACGGATTTCACAAGCTCCATTTCGTTGACCGTCCGGAAATTCAGACCCGACCCGGACCCAGGCCCACAGACTCTCCTGACTTCGGATCTCAGCCTCTCCTGGAGACCGGAATCGTCGCCGGCGATTCTCCCGATTAAAGAGGGTAGAAAGACGGAAAAGCCCCCGTAAGCGTTGAAGCCCAATATGAAGAGGAGGTTATGGATCGTCTCCTCTCGGGTCAACCCGTATTTTTCTTCACCTAGCTGGAGTATTTCTCCGGCGTTGTCGTTGACGAAATTGTAAAGCTTTTTGTAGTCTCCGGCGACTAAGAAGAAAGGGTAAGGCCATGTATGGAGGAAGATCTCCTCGAGCGGCTGGAGGATGCCGATTTTCGTGGTGGGGACAATCTGAACGGCGAGCCAGCGATCGATCATCTGCCAACCGTTTTCGGCGATGTCCGGTGATACCGAAGTGTTGACGCCGGCGAGAGAAGCGGAGAGGAAATTGAAGATGCAGCGTTGGAGAGGGACTATATATGATGCGGCGTCGTTTTTAGAGAGGTCGGATTCGACTGTTCCCCAGAAATTGTCAAGGTTTGAGAGAAGCTCTCGTCGCCATACTTCGGAGCTTCGCTTTAGTAGTTCCATGGAGAAACCTTTGACCTGAACAAAATCTTAACTGGTTTTAACGGAATTGTGTAATACGGCAAGTAAAACGTTTTTCATGTATTTTAAAACAAAAAGAATACGTAGTAATCTACAGTAGTTTTTGTTTGTCTTGTTACTCTTGTACTATACCCTTGTTTTTTCCTGTCTTTTTTAACAGAAACACCAAAACACACTTATGGTTATTGATCTTTACACTTTGTTTATTTACCAATCAAACAAAAAAACTCTATTAAGCTTGTAAGTTTGTTTATAAATAAAAAGCTTGTAAGTTTGTAACATATCACAACTTCAAACAAGATAACAAAAAAAAAAGATGAGCCCTACCAAAAGTTTTTATGTTTTGCATTACAGTTCTCTTTAAAAGATTACACCAAACAAACTTTTCAATCCAATATCGATTTATTTTAATCACCTATATATCTAACAATGTAATAAAGTCCCACATGTATTTAAAATGGTCTGCTAAATTTATTTAACCTAGATCAGTGATTACTTTTCATTTATCACTAGGTTTTTTTGGTTATTTACGTAAATAGCTTAATTTTAACACTTCTTTACACAAATAACACAGTAATAAAATCGAAACTATGTAAGTTTTTTTGTTTTTTTTTTTTTTTTTTTTTTTAAATATGTAAGTTTATTACAATTATAACACTGCAACTGCCTCATTTTTGCAAATAAGTGTCAAAATTTAGCTAGTTGCATTGCATACTTTTTGTGTTCGTTTACATGTTGTACTTTATAAAAAAAAAAAAAAATCCTTTAATTAATCTACCTGCCAAAGTACAATAATCCGGTTGAATTTGCCAGATCAACTAATACTAAAAATCACATCACTAGACATCAAATCCAGCCACTAGCTATATTAGATTACACCAACAAGTATATATATGGATAGATAATAATTATTAAATTAAAGAATTCTTCAATTTTTGTGGTTTTATTTTTGTAACTGAATATCCAATTTATTTTAATCTATTTCTGTAGTTTCATTCACATATATAGGCTAGTTGGGTTTTGTTAGATTTAATTTTAAAAGTTGTAGTATCTCCAGTTTGTTTTAATTAAACTCGTACCTATATCGTACGCTATTAATTACTTTACATCGTATCGTATCATGTACGGACCTTAGCGTGCTTTGGTTCAGTGGTGTCGAGATAAACTCCAACACGAGCGCCGCCGTAGAACTCTAGGCTAGGCCGGAAGTCTCCGATGAGAACATCTCTTTTATCAACTAGATCCATGTCAAAGAGATGGCTAAAAGATTTGACATCGAGGACAGCGACGATGTTAGGGTTAACGTCACCGAAGAAAGGAAACGCCGGAGGGATGTTTGTACGGAACACAGTGCTCTTGTACTTCTCTATCCTTGTCTTGAAAAACTTCTCCGGTCCTTGGAACCAGAAGTAATCTAAACGGTCCGCTAATGGTCCCAGCAACGGCAAACCGTACGATCCCGGCATCTTACGGAGGGGAAGCTGGGACGGTGGCGACGACAACGGCTTTTGTGATGTTAGGGATGTTGACGGTGGTGGCGGTGAAGCAGACGCCATAATTCTCAAGAACATTATCTTAGCGTAGAAGTGTTTGGGATCTCTACGTCTTCTATTTTCTATGAGGTTGTAGATCTCATTGGAGATAAATAAATAAACAAAGATAACATAAACTGTTTATGGATATTGGTATGGTTTGGTTGTTTGCTTATACATTTAAAATATATATCTTTAAGATATTATTGGCAGCTCTACAAAAACAATTAAGTGGAATTTATCATTTATATATATATTGGCAAGTAAAATTTATTTATCAACTGCAAATGTAAATGTCAAACACAAAAGTAGAAAAAACATATCAATTTGTAATAGTATTAGTTATATCTGAGACGTTTAAAATTTCATGATGTAATTTTTTTTTTTGCCATATGAACGCAAACATATAAATTACATTTGAAACGATAAAAGGCTTAAAAGCTATTGATACCAACGTGACTGAGGCGTCGATCGATGTTTCAAAAAGAAAGTTTTGCATTTGCATTTACAGTAAAACATATCGCATTTAAAAGAATAAATTATTTCTCTCTATTAACATGAATGCAATCTCATTACCAAAAAAAAGAAAAAAACATGAATGCAATCTGCGTCTAGCATTTGAACAGAAGAGAACTTGGCTAAACTTAGCGAACCAAGCCAAGCAACCAGTAGACGATATTAGAACCTGGCTAAGCCTAAGGGCGAATTGGATCGTACGAGAACACTCCACCAAGGTTTATGTCTGGACCAATTCCACGTCCTCGACTACGAGTACATGTGTAATTTTGTTTTAAGCAGGAATAAAAATTAGATATCCTTTTACAAAAAAAAAGCAGCAATAAAAATTAGGGCATAATAGTCCATACTCCATACTCTTTTCATAAAACTGGACGGCTGGACCATATCAATCATTTTCAAGATAAAATATCAGGAAACAATTTTGTGTTATTTATTAAATTTTGCGTTTGACGTTTTGATTTACGTTTACAACTAAAAATGATCAATTTCCCTTCATAGATTTAAAATTTTGAGGATTCATTTAGAAGACAATATTTGTTTTTCTTTGTTCTTGTTAATGTTGCTAGACTTCGGTTCCGGTTTCGTGTTATGTTTAGATCATAGATGACTTCTTCTGGTTATAGATGAAAAGTTCAGATTAAGATATTATTAAAAGAAAGTGTAGAGATTCAGAAGAAAAAAAAGAAAAAAAAACGATGGACATTGGCGATCACACATGTCGATGATGATTAATTTTGTAGACGTCGGAGATGGTTTCTACTGACAAATTAAGATGAATGAGTTAGCTACCACATGCGTCATGCGTGGAAGTGGTCCGACGCTATCGTGAAGATCTGATCTTTCTTAAAAAACATTTTGTGTGAACGGGAAAAAAAATCGAGAAACACATGTGTATCTAATTAATGTTAACCACTTCAGATGTGACTGGCTCCTCCTCTGACGACCATATGTATGTTGGATGAAACAGCTTTTGTTTTCTAATAACAAGAGTCAAGAGTAATCCGAGTGGAAATCTAATAATCGAGTGGTCCATCAGATATTCTAATAAACTTTTCATTATTCTAACAAACTTCAAACATAGTATTCAACTATTCATTATTTCGATTAACCAAATGAATACGAGAAAGTTATGGGCTTATGGATGGAAATCAAACCCGAAAAAGTTACGTAGTAGACTAGTGTAGTGTTAATTAGTTGACGCCATGTTCCTGATCTTTTACGACCAAACCAAAACTGTTTGGTTGTACTTGTATGAAATCATTGTAACTTGCCTATAAAAGTCATAGAATAATGAAAAATATTATCCTTTGATATAAAAAAGTATTTTTTCACGTCATATATTTATGATATTTAAGTTAAAAATCTCAAACACGCATAAGTATTATGTTCGATTTATATTCAGAAAGCAAGTTCAAGGGCAAAAAGGTGTAGTGACTTGAGAGCAAGAGTTGTGGTTACAAGCAATCAGAATAAATTATTAACTGAAAACAAGTCGATAATCTATATATCAAACTGGATTTTGCTCTCTTTTAATTTGAGCTTTATATGAAACTAGGCCGAACGCGGGTGGTGTTGTTATTTCCTTTTATTTTATTTTTTCCATATTTGTAAAGTTTATTTTATAAATAATATTCTCTCTTTGTCCCATATTATAAACAGTTTAGGAAACACATCCAAATACATCCAGATAATTGCAGATACATTTTCCTAAACTGCTTATAATATGGGATAGAGGGAGTAATAACATGATCGTCTCTGACACAATGTTTTTTTTTTTGTTTCTCGAGTTTTTTTCATTTCCTCCATTTTATAACTTATGAATTGCAATTCCCATATCATACAAAAATATGGTAGAACTGTGTGAATGATGTTGAGTGTCATATAGGTTAAACTCCATAATGTTCAGTTAATTAATCAGTCATAAATTGATTTAATAGAATGAAAGTGGCACAATAGTCAAATGCATTATCAATTTTTAGTTTTATTTTCTTCTTTACCTCAATGAAGCTAAGTTGGCTAAATTATCAACTATGTTAGAAAAAAAAACATATATCTCAATTAGGCTTAAGGCTATTAACCCAAACCCAAAAATATGAACCAAATCGACCCAAAATAACTATACCCGACTGGTTTTAGATATAAATAAACTCACCCATTTATAAAATATTTGATACTTGTGAGTATCGGTAATTCCCGGACCGAAGCCATATCTGAATGGGTATCCAAATTGTGATTATTGTGGATAATTTCTGATATTATATGTATTTTTTTAAAGGTTTGTTAGTTTTTTTTTCTGGATTTTCGATATATTTTTCGTGTTTTAATTTTTGTTTTTTAGAAAAAATAGGATAACGGATATTATTCAGGTTTGTGGGTTTTTTTTGTGTTTTTGGATTTGTCTTTAGGTTCTCGGGTGATAAATAATTGGAATATCCAAACCTGAACAATAACCAAAAAATATTGAGTATAATTCGATTCTCTATACTTGTATCCGAATAGACCCAACCCGATAGCGAACCAAAATTCATTCAACACCTATATAGGTATAGACATCACATACCCGATAGATCCGGACCTGATCAAACCCGACATGAATCCGATCCAAACATCCAAAGTTTGAGACCTAATCTTAATTCTCTGATGATGCAAAAAAATTTGTATGTGTGTTAGAGTTACAAATATATTTATAATTCATTTGCCACCAAAAGAAAAGATGATGTACTTGTTCTTTTAGGTTTCACTTTCTCCCAAGTAAATTACTTGTATGCTTTTTTTTTAAAAGACTACATTTAAAAGAAAAAAATTCATCTATAAAATATTTGTTTGGTATAGTTTGCTACTAAACCATTTTCATATTATATACTCTCAATTTTTTTGATCATTTAATCTGATTCAGTTTTATTATATTGGGAACAACACGATACTAACTTATCAAGCTCATCTCACATTTCAAGCTTCAAGATTAAACCTACCAGTTGAAGATCCCGAAAGACGTCACTTATATCCACATAGAACTTTTCATTCGCGGACATTCGAAAAACGTTGAATAGTATTTGCAAATTTGCAATGGCTCAGCTCTGAAAAAAACAGGTGACCAAGTTCATCAAACCCATCATCCTCATCATGTTGAACATCTTCTAGAAATTTCTCTGTCGTTGTAGTAACAGAGTGAAGCTTGGTTTGCTCATAGAATGTATTACTTTGTGATTCCCATTCCTCTTTCAATCTCTCCACTATCTCTCACATCAACTCTTTCACTTCCGATATGTGCTTCATGTCCTCAACTTACACTATTTCTCCTGCACCTTAAGTTTACGAAAGACACATGTTTAAAAATCTTAGAGAGCTCCCCATTAAATTAAGTTGACAATTTTGCTCTTTCAGAGATGGGAATGGGAGGCATGGCAAATAGCATCAATGGTAAAACTTAAGAGAAATTATTAAAAATTGCAGACAAACAGTTGATATGTATGGAGTAGCATACTTTTGATTGCGGTCTTCTTTGCCTCTACGTACTCTATAAACCTTTTATGTAGAGAACTCAGATCAACTTCATTGCCCTGATAAGCACAAAACATCAAGATTAGTGGAATATAGAAACCTTTAGTAACGAATAAAACCACACTGTTTGACATTTCTGCAAATATGTAAAACCGGAAAAGTGTGGATGTAAATACCTAGAAGATCAAGTATCTGATGCTCAGCATATCCATATGGATGAATTTCTCAATGTCAGTGTCATAGGTTAATCTGTTCAAGTCAAGTTGAGAATCATATCACTAAAAATGTTTTTTTTATAAGTAATAAGAAAAAGATTTATGGGACAATATGACATACTTTTCATAGGCTAACCGCCGTATACATGCGTTTTAAATCTCAGTTTAATGATAGCGTTTCTCGGTCGTAGACACTTCATTAACGTCCCATTGCGATCGAAGAGCAGATATACCACAACAAACTGGGCAACTTTTCAGTGAGTTCCACTGGTTAAGATTTGTCCCTCCACACCAATGAAGAGACATTAACTTTCTCAATTCCAGAATAAGAGTAAACCGAGAATTCATTCAATCGTCTTAGTTAGTTCTTAAACTTATGCTAAGGAAATTAAAATCAGTACGCATGTTCTGACCTATCTAAACATTCGAGACACTGAAAGAAATTTGTTAAACACATGTCATACCTGGACCATCTCACTGATGAAGTTAAATCCTCCGGGCCCCAATGATAGATCCTGCTAGCAATTATCCAGTTAGCATATGCATAAGCACAAAATGATTCACAACAATCAGTAGGCCGAGACATCATACTGTCACGTAAATGTATAATTACACAAAATGATTCACAACAATCAGTAGGCCGAGACATCATACTGTCACGTAAATGTATAATTACACAAAATGATTCACAACAATCAGTAGGCCGAGACATCATACTGTCACGTAAATGTATAATGACAGAGACTAAGATTCGCACAAAAACAGAGCGGATGTCCAGCACAAGCAAAGGCGCTGGCACCACAAGTTGCAGATACAACCACCAAGTCTGATATCAGGCTACATGCCATAAGAACACAAATCAGATGACCAATACAATTATTAAATTTCGAGATTTATTTTACTATACCTTGTTGTATGATCAAAATTGTCATCGTATGAAACTACAAATCAGCAAAATAGTGGAAATATAATGAGTAAAATAGTGCTTTTCCGTTGTATGAAACTACAAATCAGCTAATGTGGTCCATCTTTTGGTATAGCCGGTCCCCAAAAAAATATAGCGAGGTCCCCCCCACAAAAAAATAATGTACGATGTCATGCCAACTTTCTAATACCAGCATTCAAGACTTTGCATTATTGAGCACAAAAGAAAAGAGATTATTGAATCATTGAGCATGTCGAGGAGGCACCATGTGATCTGATATCCGATTTCTAACGTTTCTTAGGATAAGATTTAATTCAGGCGTTACACAGAAGGTGAAGTGTGCAGATTATGCGATAGAGAACATTCATAACCTAAAGGAGGCATTGCCGGAGCTCTGGGAATCGGAGGCTAAGCCTGGAAAAGTTAGGTACTCCGGCAAGCTTCCCGTGGAAACTCCGGTGGTAGCGTGATTAACCTATGTTTCCTACACAGACTTTTTATTGTTTCTGTTTTGCTTGAATAATCTCTGCTTTGTAGTTTTGTTCTCCTTCTTTTTCTTTTTACTTTATGGAATTTTTCTTAGTTAATGTTACCTCTATTTAAACTTTCTGATAAATTGGCATGCGTCCTTTTAAATTATCTTCTTAATTCAACATAAATTGGCATATACCTAACATCTTTTTATTTTTAAAACTTGAAATTATGCTAATATATTTAATACAAACATATTTTTATTTTTAGTTGTTGAAAACATTTATTATGCTTCACTTATGTTTCACAGTTATTTTTCTTATATGTCGCATTTTTTTTAATATAATTTGCTTTACTTATTGTTGAAAACTAATTAAAGATAGTTTGATTTTTTTTAACCATCAACCACCTCCTTATTAGTTTAAACACAAAATAATTGATCACACACTAATACTAATCTTATTACCACTAATCTTATTAACTGGGTCACACTTGTAAAATAGATCAATTTTTAAAACAAACTACATATATTAACAAAATATGATAATAGTTCATATTTATTATGTTTTACTTATGTTTCACATATAGTTTTCTTATGTTTCGCATATATTTTTCTTATTATTTGCTTATGTTATACTTATTTTTGTAAAACAAATTTTTGATAACTCTCTTCTTTTTATGTATAAATTAATTGTTTATTTCTACATAATAATAATTTATTTATTCAAATTAGTAAACCACTTTCAGTTATAACTACATTATCACCTGTTTGGACTAAAAAATTATTGTGCAAATAGAGTAATTGTTGTGCCATTGAGCCAAGCATTCCAAGTGGAATGCATGACCGCAAGGAGTTTTAGCCAACCATCGGTTTGATTCAAAACTCTCAAAGCAGATTGAGCATTCCACTTTCCCATGTGGGAAATGGAAGCTTGATACTATTATTGATGGCAGATTCACTCGATGCACAAAATATTTCTTGAGCTTATGGTAAAGAACTTCCCAATAGGACTAGTTGGTCATCATCGTTGACGTCTTGAGACATCTTATAAGACATTTAGAAAAAGGAGAAGGATATATTGTTTTGTTTGATATAAGTTTGAAGAATTAGGATAAAACTGGAACAATATGCATAACCTCTATAAAGTAATAACCACTATAAGATAATAAATTTCTCAGATCCTTCGGGCGAATGTAAAAATTAGCAAAATGCGATAAGATGATAAAATAATAATATTTTTGAACTTGTATGTAAAAATATGGCAACAATTATAAGCTAAAGTAAAAATTAGATAAAAGCTAAACATTGTATATGCCTACGAAAATTATTAAACTATGAATTTAGATTTATCTCTAACTTTTTATTATATAAAAAACTCATAATGCATTTTTTCTATGCATGTAAAATTTGTTAAGTATGTTCTAAATAGATTATTTTCAACTTCATTAGTAGCTATAATTTTTTTTCTGAACTTTTGAAATTTTATATAAATATTTATATAAGCTAATAATATATGTTTTATTACGATATCCAAAAGACTTTATCATAATTTCAAGTTTATGTATATTATATTAACAAATAAACAATTTTAAATTCTTGATACATTATTATGTAATGAATAATTTTCAAAGTTTATGAATTAAAAATATATTTTTTTATAAATAAAAAAATATTAAATTTATTCATAAAGTATCTCTGTAAGATTATAATTTTTCAAAGTCCCAACATTATTACTTTATAGATGTTTTATAGTACCAGGTGTTTTAGCGCAGGTTTCGTTTTATTTTTTAAAAAATAATTTTTTACTTATATTAAAGATTTGTTAATTATTGTATGTTTCTGTTTTATAATCCAACACTCTTGTTCAGTTTCTTTTAATGAATTCAATTTTTTAATGTTTTGAAGCATTCAAAATATGTTTCTAACTTATGCATTTACATTTGTTTTTGTGATTGTTTTTAAATGTGTTCTTGTTCTTTGTATTTAAAACCAATTGCTGTTCTTAACCGCAATATAATCAAATCATATTAAATAACCTATAAACTTTCATGCTTCTTTTTTGGCCCAAATTCTATAATTGCACATATTTACAGTATCCAATTTTCCCAAATCCTAATTAATCATCACGCATACACAAACACAAAGAAATATCATTTATGGGGACCTATAAAATATATATTGTCATTTGTCTCCATATCAAATATACATACATACACGTGTCACTCACTCAAAATTTTGTCCTCCCCAAACATTTCCACCGTCTGGTCTTTTCTCAGCCACATTTTCGTCACTTTTTCAGAATTAAAGGAAAAAACATTTGATGAACAAAGGTAAAATTTAACGATGACGATGACGAAAA